AGTGCACAAAATTTCCAGCAATCAACCATAGATCAACTTATGCCAGCTAAAATGGGGGTTGTTACATTCTTCTGCATATGCAGGTATCATCTAGCTTGCAGGAACACTTGCATTAGCCTGACAGTCTCCTCACACTGATATGGATCGTGATGGTACTGCAGTGATCCTGGCGGTAGTCCCCTTACCCGCGTACAAGGGAAGCTGCGTTACAGCAGGTCCTGCAGCAGATACTCACATCTCTCCAGTTTGGGTTTGTTTGTAAAGCTTGCAGAGCTCACAGCTTTTGAAGCATGAGCCTTTTCCTACATGGAGTCTCACTCTTGTCCCTTCATCATGATCCCAAATGAAAGTTCCCACAACGGTTCAGAGCATATAAGGTTCCCATTTGCTATGATAGGAAGTTCTGACCTAGTTTTTCTACCAGTAGGAAACACGTCTCTGTGCTTGGTGCGTCAGAAAAGATGTAAATAAATGAGCCTGTCACAAAAAAGGCAACCACCTAGAATATTTGTTTTCATTTGTTACTTGGAATTCCCCATCTACTGCTTCACTGGCTCATGCTAGCATTTGGGAGCAGGAGCCAAGATTTCCAAAAGCAGCTGCTTGCAAATGTTACTGCCTCTCAGCACCTGCCAGTGGGTCACAGGGTGGCTCTAACCTTGCGCAGCTCTGTGATTCCTCTGACTCCTAAATGTATCTGATACAGCAAAGTGAACTTGCTCCTTTGAAGTCCTTGTTTCATGCCAGACCTCCAAGGGCCTTCCCACTAGAGGCTTTGCCTTCATATGTCTTCCTTCATCAATATTTAAAACCTGTCATTTCTAGTGCAGCACAAATAAAATCCCATTTGGGCTTACAAGGAGCTGCATATAACTTTACCTGCAGAGTTATATAAACACAATCCTAATTAATTGGTGCTCTTGCCTTGCATGAATAATAGATCTGGATAGCGTAAATACGTACAGTAGATCCAGGCTTAGAGAAACCTGGGAAGTGTGCACTCTCAGTGGAAGGGGAAGGAAGGGCAGAAAACAGAGAGGAAAGGAGGCAAATGAGGAGAGATATTTGAATCTTTCACTTCATTTTTCAGCTGCATCTTGATGATTTTAATCCCTACTTAAAATGGGGTGCTTTGTCATCTCAGTGTTGCAGCTGAGTGCACCCAGTGTGGGTGGGGAGGGCACCAGGGTGAGCAGAGGAGGATGAGAAATCAGTGCAGTGCCAGAGGCTTTGCGTACTCCTTCATAGTGCCAGGTCCTCTCCAGATGTTTGCCAGCTGCAGAGGCAGGACAGCCTGTGGAAGGCAGCTGGGCGCATCGGGAGACGGGGAGTCTGCTGATTTCTAGTAGCTCTGCGGAGACAGCCTTTAGGTTGTTTAATTGAAGTTGCTTATAATGTGACCATGACAAATGACTTACTGATAGCATGACGTGACAAAAGCACTGTAGCACTGGCAGGAAAGCACAAGTTAGCTCCGTATTTGTGTCCTAGGTAAACCAAAGAGCCAGGGCACAGAAGTCCTTTAAATATCTGGAAGAGCAGCTGGCACAGCTCCGAAAGAAGACCATGCCCAGGGGACTCGACTGCCAGTTCATGGATTTAAATAGGTGTGGAGGAGGCTAGTGGTTAGATACGTGCTTTTCATGGAGAGACCAGAAATGGGGCAGGCTCCCCAGGGCTGCTTCGGGGTGTGCTTGCCTGGAAGGATGGAAGGGCACTGCTGCCTCCCTGGGAAAAACAGAAAGGCTTTTTTGTTCTTCCTGGCATGGATTGGCTTTATTTGCTGGATTGGAAGTAAAGACTGATCAGGTCATTTTTATCTGAGCAATAGCTGCAGCATTCAGGGCCTTACCTCCTGCCAGTCAAGCCCAGCCTACCCAAGCATTGTGTATTTTGTTATGTAGCATGCCGTTTTAACAAAAAGCGTAAAACCCCAACCTGCTCTCCCCAGAAAGCTGTATAATATGCACAATGGGTGGAAATTCCAGTAATATGTATTCAGCCAGTCAGTCAAAAGCTACGTGCTCCTCAGGGCTCGGTAGTCTCTGAGGCCCCTGTGTGTTATGTGAGCACATAGAAACGGTGACCTTTATTGACAGTTTTCATCAAAAGAGGTCAAGGGAGCACTCGCAAAGTTAGGAAATCCCATGTATTACTGTTAATGCTGCAGAGCTAGCATATCCCAGTGGCATATCCTGTGTAATTTCTAGTGTTGAGCTCAAAATAAAAATAGCCATATGTTACCACTACTCTCAAAAAGGACACGCGTACGCGAGTAACACATGCATCTTGAGCTTACGTGGGTAGTGCGACTGAATGTGCGTGGCGTGGGACATACCAGAGTCTGTAGCTAGCAGTTTATTTCAGGTTTAATGTAATTTTCCTTCCCTGAGAAGAGTTAAACAGCACTGATAAATATGGCTATAGACAGCACTAAAGCTATGTTAGAGCTCTTACGTTAAGCTAGACAAAATCAGCAGCTCTGAGCAAGATACCTGTGGACATTACCTTCAGATGGGAAAGTATGAGTAAAGCAGACAATGACTCTTTCATATACTGTAATGTAGGGGTGTATTTAAAAATTATTTTAAGTATGTACTCTCTCTCTCTCTATATATATATACATATGTATATTTTATCCATCTATCTATCTATCTATCTCAAATCTATTTATATAGACTGTGCAGGTTTACTGCATATGCATTTTTGTCTCCAGATAGCTCAGCCAGCTCCTTGGGCAGAGCCACTGTAGTCAGCTGTATATTCGAGACCTCCGTATGATGTAGCTAACATACTGCATTTCAAATCCCTTTAGCGCCTTCCTCGCCATTGCAGTCTGCTCAGTCACTGTGTATCTGCAGCGGCAAAAATGCTCGATTGGAAAAAAAAAAAAAAAAAAGAAGAAGAAGAAGAAGAAAGAACCTAATCTTTTATGCTTCAGTGCGTTACCTCCCCATTACTGCTGCATGCCTGCTCGGTGCAGTAACAGATGAAGGTACCGCAGGCCACAGCGTCCCCCGTAGCCAATATTTGCATTTGAGTGCCCTCTGCCGATCGGCCAGCTGCACACCAAGGGGCTGATCAGGTGCGATTGCAATAAGCAGGTTGCCTGGAAGTTGGTCTTGGTGGTCTCTGGCTTTCTGATGGGTCATGCTCCTACATCCCCTTGAACCGACCTAGAACTTAAGGCTGCCTAGTGTTTTTGCTTAAAGCTGCTCTGGTGCGGAGGGGCCTGCTGCCCCGCTGGGTTTTGTAGCCGAGGTGTTGCAAATAGGTTAGGCCTAAACCCCTGCTCGTGTGGACAGGAAAACAGAGCAACTGGGGCAGTTTGAGAACTGGGTGAAAACCAGGGCAAGAGTCAGGCCCGCTGGAGAAGTCTGTTTGCAGCAGATACCTCCCTTTTGCACTGGGCTCATCACCGTGGTGAGCTTCTCACCACTCCGCGTTTGGAGAAGGGACAGCCACCGTTTTAGGGCATAACTGAGAAGGTGCTAGCACCTCACTAACCGTGCAGGTATAGGTCACGGTGCTGTGGGATTCAGTGGCCTACTGAAGCTTCTTTCAGCCTCTCTTTCCAAAGGTTGTTCTACCATAACCTAGGGAGCCCCAAAACAGTCCCCAGCAAGGTGCCACTTGAGAGTCAGGTGGGTTTGTTCGCAGGCTTCTTCTGGGAATTGCATGTCTTGGCAGTCGCTTCTGCATGCTGATGCAAGAGGAGAAACTTCATGGTGTGATCCCGGAGAAGCATAGAGCTGTCCAGGTGGATGGAAAGGATGACAGTGTTAGTGGGAGCTGGGAGATGTTCGCTGCGGGCGTTACTTGAAAGGTAGGGCTGAGATGGGCTCTCGCTGCAACGTACGTCCTGCCAGTGCCGCCGCTGCCAGTATGGGCCATCCTGGGATGCCGGTTGCCTCGTGTTAGTTGATGTCGCCTGGAGTGGGGCACCAGCATGCCCTATGCACCCAGGGCATGTCGCTGGAATAAACTTGTGAGGGCTCAAAAGCACTATACAGTAGCCGAGCTCCAGATCTCCCACCCTTGGAACAACGAGCTTGTAAGGGAAAAAAGTTATGAGTAGATCTCTTGGGAACTTCACAAAGGAAGAAAGATTAGCATCTTCCTTGAGCAATTCGAGTCAAAATCTCAGGTCAGCCCGGAGCAGGTCATAGACGATCATCAACCTGAAACACCTTGGGGTCACTAGTGGCAAGGATAGTACAGAGCTGAGTAACCTGTGGTGCAGACCGGGACAGGGGAACTGGAACAGCCCTGAGAGTGGCCCTGAGGACATGAAGCTGCCCGGCTTGCACTGTAGTTTAAGGCAATTGAAGCAATTCAGCATCGTGCTAGCTAATTATTTTTACCTCTTTAGTTTCTGTCTCAAAGCCTGCAAGGCACATTAGAAGCACATTTTCCCCCTTTGCTGTGATCACTGTTGCGCATAGGACCTTGAGTGGCATGTAATTACGAAACAGTATTGATTTCTAGAGAAGAGGCTGTAAACGTACAAGTCCTTCTCATAAAAAGCAGTTTGATCCTCAAATGACTTGACCAAGAGCCTTATTTTCCTTAGTAAATAACATGACTGACTGGTAAGAATTAAAAAAAACAGTAATAATTGGATTTTGGGGCTTCTATATTAGCTTTTGGTCTCAGCGAATGCAGTAGGGATGTATTCCCTTCTCAGTGGGCAGTCTGGTTCGCATCAACAGGGCTGCAGTTTATTTGCGTTGCTCCTTGAAGCCCAGCAGGATGAGAGGTAAACGTGGGCTGGTTTGCTGTGCTGAGGGAAGTGACGGCTGCGTTTGCCAGAGCAGTCGCTCAGTCCCATGCGACGAGGCGGTCCATGAGGTCAGCGGCCACCATGACAGGAGTGTTATGGGCTGCTGGGCAAGACGCTCCCAAAAAACCATGAGAAAAAGGGCTTTGAGTGCCCAAGAAACTCTTTATTTGTGTCTGCCAAGATCTCAGTGGCTCACCTGTGTCTTTTGCCCCTGCAGCAACAAAGGCGAGAGAAGGAGATGCGGAAGCAGCAGGAGAGAGAGCAGCGGCGGCACTACGAGGAGCAGATGCGCAGGGAGGAGGAGCGGAGACGTGCTGAGCACGAGCAGGTACCCCTGGAGCTCCAGGCCGGATCGGATCCTCGTGACCTGGCTGTGCTCAGCAATCACAACTGGTTCAGTTCGGGATGATTGCCCTTAATGTGAATTCCTCTTAATTTAATAAGTTAAAAGGCAGATCTTCTCATAACACTCACGTTTTTTGCCACTACAAGCACTTGAGCGTAAATTTGCTTAATTGTTAACACTGCGTGTGTCGCTTTCCACTGTCGTAATTTATTTCTGTGTGGATCCACTTGTTTGCCCGCAGATGTGGAGACACTTGACGTTGAGTTTTCCCACCCTCCCATTCCCAGCGTAGGGGTTTGTGCAGTCCCTAGTCCATGTATGTAGCCCTTCCCTCCCGGAGGCCCCTGTCCCGGCCGTGGGAGCCCCGGGGCTTTGGACAGTGGTGAAAGGACTGAGAGCATCTGGGCTCTGAGGTGGGTGGATATCTGTGCGCCAAGACCTCCTCATGCTCCTGACAGGCTCTTCCTCTTGGGAATTACTGGGTCTTTTACCTTCTCTCTCTTTCTCCTTTGCTTCTTGCTGCCCGTGCCTCCAGGAGTACATCAGGCGACAGTTAGAGGAGGAGCAGAGACAGTTAGAGATCCTGCAGCAGCAGTTGTTGCAGGAGCAAGCACTACTTCTGGTAATGGGGTGGCCCCATCGCTGTCTGTCCGCGTCGCGCTCGCATGTGTCCACCCTTGTGCGCCCGTGTGCCCTCAGCACTCCCGCGACACGAGACGCAGAGCTTGCCCTGGCAGATGCCTTGCAAATGCCCCCGGCTATGCCGATGCAATTACTCGCGCGGTGCTCCGGCCCCTGCCCGCAGTGCTGAGCCGGCCGTAACTTCCCTTGCTGCGCTTTGGCCTCTCCGCTGTGCCTGGCCTCGCACTGATTTCGGGCTCCTCGCTGTGCACTCCTCTTATTGCATCTCCTTCTGTAGCATGGGCTTGCTTTTGCCTTCGTTAGAGGTGCAGACCCTTCCTCCGTCCCACGGTACCTGTTGCCATGTCGTTTTTAAGGCTGTTTGCCGCGTGCTGGCATGTAATGAAGCTGTGACATATCTGCACCCAGCAAACCCACCCTGCGATGCGGACTTTGGTATTTTGAGTGAAGTTTTTTGTTTTAATTCCTTCACAGGAACATTGTATGTTCCCTCTCATGCTGTTCACATTCTAGACTTTTTTATTGTTATTTCATTATTTTTTTGAATTGTCCTTTTTTAATGCTGGTAGCTGTTACTCTCACTGCGTTTTCTTGTAACCCACAGGGATTATTTGTTGTCTCTCTTCCCATTAGTTTTATTTAGGGGAAAGAAAAAGAAACCTCACAAAAGTCCTTGCCTTTTAAAAAGGCACTTTTAAGAAAAGCATTAATGAATTAGTAATTAAACCTCGCAAAGCCCTAGGGATTGCGAAGGATCATACAGTTGGCTCTGCTGTGCAGCTGTTGCCACAAACAATAAGTTGGTCTTACAAAGTGCTGCATAGGCTCAGCTTCAGTTGGATTTTGTATGAACTGATAGTGTTTGATCCTTTGTTATGCCCATCTGGAAGAATCTGGGCAAAAACAATGGTAACTTATAAGCCCTATGAGAACGTTATGTTATGTGATCAGTAGCTGTCTGGGACTGCCCGAGGGATTCAGATCCTGACCTCCTGTTTCAAATGTGGATTTAAAGTCTCCATCAGTGAGATTACAGCTACTTAGCACTAAAGTGCCTTTCTTAGACCAAATCTGCACGTGGTTTAGGAAGATGCAGTACACTTGTATTTGCAGCCTTTCAGTGCCGAGGTCATGCATTTACACGCTAGCCAGGCCCCATCCTGGTGGCACCGTGCACCCATGTTGCTTTGTTGTTCTCTGGATAGGAATATAAGCGCAAGCAGTTGGAGGAGCAGCGGCAAGCGGAGAGGCTGCAGCGACAGCTCCAGCAGGAGCGCGACTACCTGGTCTCCCTGCAGCAGCAGCAGCAGCAGCAAAGGCAGGACCAGAGGCCAGCAGAGAAGAAACCACTCTACCATTACAAGGAAGGAATAAATGCCAGTGAGAAGCCAGCGTGGGCCAAGGAGGTAGGAGAGAGGGAGGAGCATGGTGGGGCTTGTCTGCCTCCGCAGAGCTGGCTCCCCGTGCACGCAGCTCTGTCTGAGATGTGCGTGGCAGACTGTGCGCTCCTGGCTCTGCCTTTCCTCTCGCTCTTCCCAGTACAATGCCATTAGCTCTGCTGGAAACACTCCCAATTAAAAGCACTCTGTGTGTGTGTGTGTGTGTGTACATATGTGCATGGGAAGAGGAGAGTGCGGAAAGGAGATTTTTCCAGAAGGAGGAGCCTCCTGGACTCCCCACAAGCTGGGGACTTGCAGCCATGCGAGATGTAGGCGCTGGAGACTCCTCTTTCTGCCATAGCCGCTGCGGAGGAGGCAGAGCAGTGGTTGTGGCAGGGCTTCCTTGCTTCCTGCTAATTCAGCTTCCCCATAAATAGGGCCAGACAGCTTTTCTTCCTGTGGTACGGTTTGCGTCTCTTGGGATGACTGGTCCTTCATGATTTTCAGGAATGCAAGCCACATTGCTGTTTTTTTTCCTTTCCCCCGACAAAGAGAGGGAATTTTTTTAACGACTGTGAGATCTTGACTATTAATTATTGCCTGACTGAATAGTCTTGAAAAGATATGCGTTGTTGTCTGCAGTGCGGTTTCAGGATCATATGCAAACACTTTTTTTCTCCTTAATCTCTTTATGGTGATTCCAGTAAGACTGGTGCCCACTCTTGCTATTACTGTTTCTAAAGTTCTCTGGATTTTGTTAGTTCAATTTTGTAACTCTGCTCCTGGGCAGGAAGATCTTTTAATAACTCGCCTATTCTTCACACTAAGCAGGATCGTTGCTCTGTTGCCAAATGTCTGGCACCCTTTCGTCCTGGCAGAGATGCAATGCGCATCCAACACTTAGCTGTCTTATAATCTTTCCAATTCACAGCCTTCAGCTAGACTAAATCCACAATACCTGCAAGCATCAAATGCTCAAAAAATTCAGTCAGTTATCCTTTGCTAAGCAGAGAGCAACAGCACCAAGAGTTAATAGCATTTCTAAACCATGGCAGAGGCGAAGAAAGGAACAGTCAGTTCCTCACATGTCTCAAGTTAGATGTGAACTTCAAAAACTGTGAACAATTTGCCTACTCCAGATGAAAAGAAAGAACATAAGGTTATGCCTGTTTCCTTTCCTGAAGTATAAGATTTTGCTGACAGTGAATGCCCCTGCCAGCGTTTCTTCACAGAAGCTTCAGGATCCTTCTCAACCCTTCCAGTGGAAGAAGAGTTTTGGTAGGTGGTCTCTGGACAAGGAGTTCCTGTCTAAGACCGATGTGCCAAACAACACAGCTCTGAGCCACCTCTAATAGGAGAGGCTTCCACCTAAGTGGTGCCTCCACAGCTTTCTGCAAAATTAGGTCTCTACGGAACATCTGCAGAAGTGTTAACAGAAAGTAGCAAGGAGGAAAACGGGAGTAAACTCTCTTCCGTTGCCTCGTTTTAAATAAATCATCTAGAACATTGCTAAAGTACCTCTGGCACTGTCTTCAAAACTATCTATAACAAAGATCTATAAAAAGGGATCTTTGTCTAGGGTGAAGGATAAAAGAGCTGAATTTGACTTTCTTTTTCAAATATAAAGTTCCATTACATTAAGGGGCTGTACAATGGGAATAAGAGCAACAGCATATGGACTCATACACTTTGCTGAAATCATAGGAGAGATGAGATTTCCTGTTGTTTTGAAACACCTTCGGCTTCCGATTTGGCTGTCCAAACCATTTATTCTTTACCTGTGTAACCGTGTCCAGTTCATAATGAAATGCTCCAAGTGGCAAATTTACCTTCTTTTGGGAGCAGTAGTTTGATGCGGCGCCCCTACACAGCAGCCTTGGGAAGTTCCCATAGCTACTCCCCTCACCTCCATAGCCTGTTTTATCTACTTCACGTAGTCCCATTTTTCACTTTGCTGCATATATTGAAGTATCTTTCTTACTGGCTATACAGATGGCCAGACTTGCACCAGTACTTATTATCAGCATGCCATAGTTGTTGCCGTAGATTGACAATTCCAGTATCCAATGCAAACATGCTAATTCAAGAGAAATACTGAGAATTTATTTTTCCTTTTGGAACTGGGAGGAGACAAGTCTGGTAGCAGACAAGTTTATGTGCTTCAGCCTATCTATACAGCAAATCACTGTGTCAAGGAAGTCTTCTTAGGTGTAAATTCTCTCTGCCTGTGTTTCTACAAGCCTGAAACACTGATCAAATGGTCCCTGCCAACACGCATAGATGCAAATCCTCATCTGCTGTCTCTTCAGCTCACCTTCCCATGAGTCTGCAGGATTATCCACGGGAATGTTGCCGTGGGATATGGCTTGGGTGTTGGCCCAAACCTGGCCTTTTTACCCACACAGATCTCCTCTTCCAGTGAAAGACTAGCTGAGCCCTTTCAGGCTTCTTGTTGTGAGCCACCAATATTCAAGCCAGGCATGTAGCATTAGTGCTGTAAGTAGTAGGACTGTAATATAATAGTAGTATTAATATTAGTACTATGTGTAGCAGTGCTCTGTTACTGACCGTTCTGCTGTGAACCAGTGTTTGCTAAACAAAAAGATGTCTGGATCTCATTTTTCAGTGAAAAAGTACCTGCAGCTTATGCAGCTAAGGGACAGGTTTGGAGAGGTCCCCAGCCATGGAAAGAACAGTTTCGAATATGACCTTACGTAAAGGAGCAGCGAGGGGGATGTTCAACTGGGCATCTTCAAAGGGGCCTGGGTACACTGGGCCTGGCTGTGTGGTGCTTCTTCCCACCAGCGTGGCGCCTCCGTGGGTGCCCAGAGCTCAGCTGTGTCACAAGCAGTGCTGGTCTCTGCAACAGCCAACTCGCGTTTCGGCTCCCCCTTCAGTCCCCTTGGATTTTGTTATCCTTCTTTTGCTTTGAAATAATTCATGGCAGCTTTAGCTGCTTTCCACTGGGACCTCCAGAGAAGCTGCTAGGGATGTTTCCCATTTGACGTAAATCTTGAATTATGTAAGAGACGGCTGGTGAACAGGAGTGATGATGAGTTCCTGCGGAATTTGGCGTTGCAGACTGCCACTTTTTCCCCCTCTCTGCCTAATGCTGTAGTCAATAAGGCGCCGTGGAGCAGAACTGGAAAGCCCCAAGCGGGTCATCCTCAGCGTGCTGGTGGAACAAAGCGCTTCATGAGGCGATGCTGGTGGTCGGCAAAGCAAGCATCTTTCTCCTTCCCGGTTCACAGACATCCCCATTTCATTACTTTCCTGCCTTCTCCCAAGCTTTGAAATCGTCCGTAATTAGCGGCATGTTATGGCTTGGCGCTCTGCCGACGAGCTCCCAAAAATAGCCGGAGGAATCGATGGCGTCGCCTTTGGCGGCTGTGGTGAGTGCCAAGGCTTGGATAATGAGCAGGTTTCCTGGAGCTCCTCTGGGGCAGCTGGCAGCAAGCCTGTCCCAGCGCTCGTGAAGAGGCTGCCTTGTTCAGGAGGAGTTTGCCTCCCCTCCCGCTCTCATCCCTGTCCTCGCGTGCACTGCGAAGGCCCCCACAGGCATCACTGAACGGAGCTCTGTGCAGCCTCTGGAGCCAGCGAGCAGTGCATGGGGCAAGTTGTGAGGTCCTGTCAGGCCCCAGCGGTGGCCCAGCCGGTCACTCGTGAAGAAGAAACTACCCTTCTTTTGAAGAGAAAGAGTCCATACAACAAGAGTCTCATACCTAAATTTTAATCTGACTTCTGCTCAGTATCTGAAATAGTGAAAGCTTCATTTTTATTAATATAAAGGCTCTTGTATCTCTGTCATGAATATTTATTTTTACTTAAAAGAAAGCTATGGTTCTTTCCAAGCAGACCGATTTTATAGTTTTCATTTTTAACCAGACATTTTACATGGTGGAATTAAGACATGCTAATGGTATTTACACGTTAACGACACATAAGTGAAAATATATGTCAGATCTTTCGTTTAGGTATCAAAAATTCTGCATAGCGTGTTGCGTGAATATCAGCGCATGCAGTCTAATCTCAGTAGCGTACAGATTGCACATATAGCTGGGTTAGCTGAAACCATCGTATTTCCACCAAGAGTACCTGAAAACAATGGGCTTTGTTTTAATGTCTGTATCAGTAATAGGGTATTTTTCCTTCCATACATGACAGGGTGCCAGGCTTGCTAAATCTAGGTCAAAGCCTGATGTTGTCTGGCTGCCATGTTTATTCCTGGATTCAGTTCTAACAAAAGCACGCCTTGTGGTGTTTACAGTAAAGGATCCCCTTGCTTAAAGATACATTTATGGAGAAGCAAGAGCTGCCTCTCAGAAGTCATCTGCTAGACTTGAGGCATGCACCTTCTTGAGGCGTGCACCTTCTTGAGGCATGCTTCCTTTAGTGGAAGCTTTATTTTTCCATTTCAGATTTGCAAGGATGAGTTACGCGCATGAGATCTAAATAGTCCTTTTTTGGACTCTTTAAAATGCATTTATTGCACAAGCTGCTGGGTGACTTGGATTCCATAGCCATGCAATAACCTGATATATCTACAGAGAAAAGAGCTTCCTGCGTGGGCCTTGGTTTTCAATTGTAAATGGCTTTTTTATGGGTCTTTCTTACCTTTTAGAAGCTGGAGGTACCACTTAGATTTCCTAATGATATCTATTTATGGTCTCAGACTTCACAAATACGGCAATCCAATGAATCCTGCTGCTCTGTGTTTGTGCAACATATCGCAGCCTTGTCCGTAATGGCAGTCCCTTGGAGCAACGCTACATTAAGCCTACAGTGATCTTGGCAGGACTGTGAGCAGCGCTTTCTGTGCGAGTGTGAAACGCTGAGTACCCTATACAGCCGCTCCGGTTTGTATAATCACAGCGGAGGGTGTCCAATACACAGTGAAACAAAATGCTGAGCCTTGTCCACATATGAATTGAGCAACTAGCATCGGGCCGGTACTCCCTTAGGAAGTGAAGGGGAGGGGGAAGAAAACTGATAGAGGCAAATATGTGATGGAGCAGATAAACCTGGAGCGAGTAAATGGGGTGAGGGAGAAGGAAAATGAGGCAAAGGAAAACCGATACAGATTGCAGCTTGTCTGAAGAGTTTGGGACTGCCGAAATCCAGACTGGAGCGTTTACCCAATACAGAAGTCCTTAAAGTGCTCAAAGACCTGATGCGTAAAGGGACCCAGTCCCTTGGTTCAGGGAGCAGAAAATAAGCAGGAAATACGATCATCTCTTTGGAAAGCAGGCCGAAAGGCTGTGCAGTAACTAGAGCATGTGGTGGGGAGCCAGTGAGGTGACTGGTGTTGATGGGCTCTCTTCCCATGTTGCCGCAGGTGGAGGAGCGCTCCCGACTCAACCGTCAGAGCTCACCGGCCATGCCTCACAAGGTGGCCAACAGGATTTCCGACCCCAACCTGCCTCCTCGCTCCGAGTCCTTCAGCATTAGCGGTGTGCAGCCAGCCCGGACCCCACCCCTCCTCAGACCCGTGGACCCACAGGTAATGGTGCTTCCGCCCAGCAGGCTCAGTTACAGAAACCAGGATGCTCGGGGTGCCGGTAAGGTCATGAGAAAGGCTGAATTGAAGGAAATAACGTCTCGCTCCGTGGCTTCTCACGTGTTTGTGAGTAAGGGCAGCATCTACATTCATGAATTGATTCTTCTTTTCACCTCCATGTGTTAGAAACATCATGCTGGGTTATACCTTCCTTTGAAGCATCAGGTACTGGTTCCTAGAAACAAGCTGAGGACCTAGAGGAACCTCTGGTCTGCGCCAATAAGGCAGTTTCTCTGTTCCTCTTTGGGTCTGTTTTATTTAAAGAACTAAAACCTCAGAGCCTGGTACAAAAGGCCTAGGATGCTTTGATGCTAAGGACCATCAGAAAGAGATTTTGCTTTCTTTGTTACTTTACTTCAAACTTTTGTTTGGTTTTCCATCAAGTTAACATCAGTCACAAGCACATTCAGAAAGGGCAGTAGGTTGCAATGAGGAGGAGAATCGTGATTTTAAAAGCTAATCCCAGTCACAAGGTCCATCAGTACCCCACCACGGAAAGTTGTGAGCGTCAGGGCTGGGGCCCAGTTCAGCAACCGCAAATCCTGCAGACTCAAGCGGGGATTTCAGAGGGGAGGAACCAGGTTTTTGGTCCAGACTCACATGGTCTTTCTATGGGGAAATGTGCTGAAAAGTGCTGTCCACCTGTGGTATGTGCATCTGTAGGTCAGCAGGACAATGCCAACTTTAAATAAAATACTTGCAGGGAAGCCCTTATGCAGGTATTTTTCCCCAGATATATAATCCAAACTTAAATCGTAAAACCCCACTTCATAGCAGACTCTCTAATTGACCAAGCACAATCTGTTTTTTCCTGACTTCTTTGAAAATACTGCACTCTTTCTGGTGACATATCTTGTGCACAGCTGCAAGGGTTTTGTTTGACTAAGATACTAATGAAAAAGTCACTTGAAATCCGGGCACCCATGTACATGTATGCATGTACGTATAGATGCAGAAATGTCATGTTTACCCTGAAATAAAGGTTACAACTCCATGCTGCGTCAAAGAAGGGGCCATTGCAGACTTTATAGGGCCCTGGGAAGGAGCTCTAATATCATACTCTGATTTTGGGAATGTCTCAGTTTCTGTCACGTGGGTGACTTACTTTCACTCGCAAGCCTTAGATGTATACGATTCATCCGCAGGATAGGGTGCTACCTAGACCTGTAGAAACTCATGCCTCAAGATATTTTTTAAGCCATCTGTGCCTCAGAGTTCCTGAATTTTTTTTAATTATTATTTATTATTGTTTCCTTTTCTTTATTTTTAACAACAAATTCCATGCCAGACGTCATTAGCACAGTGTTAGAGACACAGACTCAATAGCTTGAGATTCAGCAAATGCTGGGCAGGGCTGTGAGCGTGCATCCTGTGTGGGTGCGCTTGCTGGAGCGAACAGCCTGGCCTCACTCTGCGGTATTATTTCCAAAATGGTGTGCAGTGCTGGAAGTAAACACCATGTTGCAGGGCATATGCAGAAATGGTCAGAACTGAAACATATGGATCTGACTTGGGCATTTCTTGACTTTAAAATGCTGAGCTATGCAACCTTGATTTTTTTTAATGGTTTTTGCATTCATTTGGTGCGAATCAGAAGTTCCTGAAACCAAGGCAGTGCTGGTGTCAGACTGAGGGGGCTTTTTAGTGCATCTGAACTGCTAATCGATTTTTTTTTTCTTTTTGGAAAACAAATCAAATTTTTAATATTTTTTTCTAATTTATTTTTTCCATTTTGTACTGATAGTTCTGTTTTGACTTGGTGCTTAGATTCCACATCTGGTCACTGTGAAATCCCAAGGAAGCTCCTTGTCTGGCTCTCAGTCCCTGCATGAACAGCCCGCCAAGGGGATGGCTGGGTTTCAGGAGGCTCTGACGGTGGCCTCTCACCGCCCTGAGATGCCAAGGCAGAACTCGGACCCCACCTCAGAAAACCCTCCTCTGCCCCCTCGCATTGAAAAGTTTGACCGAAGTTCTTGGTTACGGCAGGAGGAAGACATCCCGCCAAAGGTAACATTACCGCTCCTCCCTTTCAGCACGGGAAAGAGGCAGTGCCAGCGCTGCTCCGTAGCGTTGCCCACTGGCGGAGAAAGTTCTCGAGCCACAGAGAGTCCCAAGCAAATCTGTTTCTCTTCTTCCCCTGAGGATAAGAATTCATTCTGTTTAAATAGAATTGCAGGAACATAAAATGGATCAAACTCAGTAAGACGGGTCCTTTTAGCTCAGTGGCATGCCTCCAGTTGTAATCAATATTTGATGGAAGACTTGTAAGGGCTCCGGCACCTTTATACCTCTGTTGACATTATGGCAGCATCTGGCAGTACCTCTTTAATTAAGACTCTTCTGGTCCAGTGTTTCGATTGCATTGTTTATATACCTTCATTTTGGATGAATTATAACTTGGCCATTAAAATTCCCCTTATAGTGAATCAGCCCTCAGCCTGGGTGGATTTTTGCAGAGAAAAAATATTACCAATTGATTAGCGGCAGTGGGGCAGATGATAGTATTTGTCCATGATTGAGAGACGGTTTTTCTTTGGTTTAACAAGTAAGTGACTTGCATTTTTAAGAGCAAAATGTCAGCTAATAGGCTCCGTGGTGGTATGTCACACGCGATTTTAGTAATATTTCTGTTTCTGCTACCACCAGTGATAAGTTGCATCAGCGCTTCCTTAGAAGGAAAAGCAAGCCAACAGCTCTGAAGACCCAAGCCCCCAAAACCCATTACCTGTAGAGACAGCCGCCTACCTGTGACACCTCTGCTCACAAATGATGATCCAGCTCAGTCCTCAGATCCTAGTTGATGAGAGCCGAAGTAGCCTGTCCTCACTATCAGATCCTTGACGCTGATCTTGAAAATCCCTTGGGGTTTAATACTGGCTAGGTTGAAAACAACACTGTGTGGTGCTGCTTTTTGCTCAAGTCTTTTGAGAGCAACACCTATTTTAATTACAGTAATGCTCTCTTCACTCAGACCACAGTTCCTGGTTCTTTCAGGCCCTATGGAGTATACGCCCCTTCATTGGAGGAAAACCCAAGCTGTGGAAAGGCTCCCCACACCGAACAGCACTTCACGTTTAAAGCCATTGTATCAGCAGCAATACCCATGAAGTCTGACTTCACATTTTACTGACCAAAATAAATTTGATGTGATTCTAACCGGGAACAAAAGGACTGTCACGTGAGCCTGGGCTGGCTGTCTCTGTGGTCCGGTGTCTTGTTTCTGCCAGTGTTTATGACTAGATGCTTCAGAGGAAGGTAAAAGAAACTTCAGGAGTCATGATTGCAGAGTAACCTGCCCACCCATACAGGGAATTTCTTTGTAATGAATGTATAAGTTATTGCTAGCTCTGCCGCAGAATATAAGACTGTCTCTCTCTAAATCATTTTGGCTCGCCTAACATAGCTGTGTGTTCTCCAAAAAAAACACCTAATCCTTTTTTTTGCTAACCCTACTGAGCTTTTGGCCTCTCTATTACCTGGTGCAAAGTATTCCCCAGGTGAGTATTGCCATACCTCTTTCTGGCAGGCTCAAGTATGGTGTATTTTTCCGCATGACACTGCTGCGTGTTGGTGCACGGCGATTTCAGAGCTAGGATGTGACGAGCGGGTGCCGGCATGCCAGCCGGGGCAGGGCCTGGGTGAGGCGCCGTGGCACACGCAGGCCCAGGCTTTGCTTTGGCTTGATGGAGAGTATTGAGCAGTTCAGCCTGGATCTTCCCACTTTCAGCCCTCTTGTTTAACCACCAGTCAGCACGTTCTCTCTGATACAATGTGTGTGTTATATCCGATCTAGACACCCCTAAAAACTCCACAGCGGCTGACGAAGTGAACTGCATTCAGAGCGTTATCTTAAAAATACCACACTGTGTTTTTTGTTAAATTTAGACTACTTATATATGTATATATGTGTGCACACATTCAGCTTTTGGAAAAGAAAAATTATTTGTTTGATGGTAACAGGGCTGCTTTGTGTGTTGCTGAGGGCTTTTCTGCAGGGAACGGCCCTGCGTTGCACATCTTTGCAGCTCCTTTCTGTCTCACGCTCAGGTGGTTCCTCGTAAAAGCCGAGAGCGTTATGTTTTATAATTGCTATAAATATTGCATATCTCTCAGTAGGAAATCAATTATAAATTGAGTCTTAAGGAAACGCTGAAGCCTAATCTCTCCGAAGTGTGAGCAGCAGCCTGATTTAATTGGGTGAACTCGGTAACTGTGACTCTCTCCGTTTCTTTTCCAGGTGCCTCAGCGAACCACTTCCATATCCCCAGCTCTGGCGAGGAAGAACTCCCCAGGCAACGGCAGCGCACTGGGACCCCGACTAGGATCCCAGCCGATTCGCGCAAGGTAGGGGAGGTTGAGTGCGGGGGGCAGAAATAGCCCCTCAGCATTTCCCGTAGCTCATTCCGGGTTTCTTCCTGATGCACCAGCTTGCGAGTCCTGTGAGCAGAGTGGGAGCACTGGTATACGACCTAACCCTGATGGTGAAACGGTGAAAACAAGAGATTTGCAATACTTTCATCACAGCTTAGGGCTGCGATAAGCTGGGGTCCCATTCATTAGTATTTTGTATCACACCCAAGGGCTGTGAGCTTTTGGATTCCTGGCTGTTTTGCTCCCTTCGAGCTGGCCTGAATCTGTTCTTGGATGACCAGGGGTTTGTAGCTGGGTGCCGTGCCTATTGCTGTGGAATGGAACAAGAATTTGAACGATTTAGTGGAAACAGGTCCTAGTTCTCCCAGCATCGCCTCTTTGTGTGTAGGGGGAATCATGCCATACGAAGCCAGTGGGGAGATCTCAGTACTACAAGTTTCCAACTAGTCAGAGCAGCAGATTTTCACAGGGAAAGCCTGAGTGTGCTGGGGACATGCACTGGTACGTCGTGGTGAGAGCCAGATCCTGCTGAGATAGAGATCAAGTATTAAATCTGTTTTGACCTCCTAGGACTAGGATCTTTTCCCAGCTAGCATGCCACTGACGTTAAAATGTTACTGAGGAAGACAGAGAAGTAAAGACACTGGTAGACAGGTAAATCTCCGAATAAACATGTGATCTATGTAGCTTGATATGATGGAGCTCTTTAGTTTCCATTTCCTGCCTCGTCCTTCTGGGGTTAGGTCAAATAGTGAATGCTGGCATATTCGTAGCCATATGCTGTGCTCTGTAACCAGCCTTTCAGCATATGCCTTTTTCTTTCCAGCTGAGTGCCTGAATCATGCATCAGCAACCTCGCATACAGCAGGCAACAGCTTAAGTAGCTGGCAGGGATAGCAGAAGGAGGAAGGCAAGAGTCTTTTTTTTTTTTTTAATGAGAGAAAAAAGCATTTGTATCATAGATTTTTTTATTGCTCAAGGCTGAAGCAGTCTGAGTTCTTGAAAATGTTGTTCTTTGAATTTAATTCTTAAATAGTAATTTAATTTTAATTTTCAGGCTACACCCTGAAAGACAATACAAAATGCAGTAGGATGTTGGACTATGTAGTCCTAGGATGTGAAGGTCTTGAGAGTAAAAATGATAGCATAAGACTGTAGGATTCAAGTTGAAGGTTACAGTGTTTTCCCTCAGCTGCACGGTCCCAGTCAATGCAGGCAAATTCATAAGTTGCCAAAGTTTTCAAATACATTTCGTGAGTTAATTTCATCAGCCGTACAACTTGAGCTGGAAGCCTTCAGCTTGAGGAAGATTGAAAACGATAAGGCAGCAAAAAAATCCATTAAACTAACTAATCAGTGAAATTATAACATTTATTTCGGTCATGATAATGTAGCATTTCTCACATTACCTTTTTTTAACCGGCTCTCCTGTCGGTTCTTGATTCCTCCCATGCATAAATGTTAATATGGTAAAAATATGCTTTCTTTTATTTGTAATACTATTGTAACGACTACGGGGATATTTCCTTGCTTTTGCTTTTTTTTTTTTTCCTTACTATCTTGCTTTTGTCATTTTAATAAGTGCCCACATAAATGCAAGATAACACTAGGCAGCAATTCAATATAATGTTCGTATTAGGCCACGTCCAAATGATTCTGTCAGTCACCCAGTTATGGCAATGGGGCTTTGCACAATCCATCCAGTTTGTGCCATTCTGATAGTCTCTGAGCAGCTTTGAATGATGCATAGCGCACACTTTATATCAGTGTTCGATGTCTTTGATTGCAATTGCATTGTGTAATGTGGCAGTATTACAGCGTAATTTTTATGTACGCAAGGTCCTAATTGGACTCTGTGGAAAAAGCTTTCTATGCATTTTTAACAGGACTTTGAATAATAAGATCACTTAACAGAAGTCTTGCATAAAAACAAATTGCATAACTCTGCATGAGCATGTCTTCTGGTGTCATTTCAGTGCCAAATAAGAATTAATGTCCTGGAGGCATCTGAGAAATATTAGTCACTCTTTGTATATCAAGGACACTTTTTATTCTAGATTTATGTATGTTCACAGGGGGGAAAGAAATCAAGGAAGAAAATGCCTGAAGTGGGTAACTTAATGCAAGTCTGAAGTGGCTGTGATGTGAAGCCATGAAACCTAGGAGATGTCAATAAGCAGCAAAAGTAATCTGCAGCCTTGTTGCCAACTTGAGATTTTTTTCTCCACTAAAAGATTTCTTTCTCTGTTTAATAGCAAGTTGCAAATTCCTAATTTTAGAATGAATATTGTTGAATGCGGATAAATCCAGCATTGCATATCTTGGGGCTGCAATGGAGTTCTAAGCAAGCAACCTTTTAATTTTTGCTAAATCTGGCCAAAAAAAGGAGTATAAAATTGCTCTAATGATTTTTCTGTGTGGTTATGGTCCAGCTCCATAAAGATAAGAGTGCCTGATTCTGTGCAGTCACTCAGCTCCCATGGATTTTAGTAGGGCTTGCAGGATCAATAGCTCGAGAAGACAAGACTTCAGCCCTGTCTTCTCCAGCAGAAAAGGTGTCCTCTTACCTTGCGTTAGGTGACATTACCTTGCATAACAAACATCGGTGAGAGGCAGACTGGAGTCTTCATTAAATTAGCAGGTCAAGTGAAGACTGTGGGGGACCCATGACTTTCCCGTGGCCTGTTAACACTTATGGGTTACTTCGATCTCTGCAAGCAGTGTTAGCGTATACCTTAGAAATGAAGATGCATTGGTGGAGCCTTACAGGCTTTGTCAATTTGCAGTGATTCCTCAACTCCTAGATCATTTAAGCATTTTTGCAAGAGACCATAAGATGCCATGGTGATTTTAGAGCTTGTGGAAGCTGTAACCCGCAGAGTTGTCTTTGCAAAATGTCATATACTGTTTTGTGGCTGTGACAGTGCTTTCTGTCACACTACCTATGGCCGTGATAAGTCCACTGTCTCAGGCCAGATTTGGAAGGAGCTGAAGCTGCTGAGGCATGCGTGGCGCCCGCTGACACCATCTCTGCTCTGTGCTCCTGCAGCAACCCGGACCTGAGGCGGACGGAGCCCATCATCGAGAGCCCGCTGCAGCGCACCAGCAGCGGCAGCTCCTCCAGCTCCAGCACGCCCAGCTCCCAGCCCAGCTCCCAAGGGGGCTCCCAGCCCGGCTCCCAGGCGGGCTCCAGTGAGCGCAACAGAGTCAGAGGTGAGGTGGTTTTTCCTGTCAAATGTTCATAGTGCCCGACCTGTTTTTGGAGGTCACTTGGTGAGCGGGAAAGGCAGGATGTCTCTAATCTCATTTGTGTTTAAGAAAAAAATTTGCCAAAGGCTTCATCAGGTAACTGATGTTTTCTAATCTACCTCTGGGACCAACTTGCCCCTTTGCAACCCAAGGTGGCAACACTCCCTTGTGCCGAGGCTGGCGAAGGTGCTGCCTGCAGAGTGACAGCATGCCTTGGGGCACTACCCTCTACCTAAATGTCACAGGGGCATGTAATTTGTGCCAAGGAGACAGGGGTTGCGCTGCAGGGTAATAAAATGAATACCGACATGCCTCCTGTTGCCAAATTGACCCCAAATTCACTTCTTCTGTGTGGGTTTCTTTGGGAGTGTGTTAAAGTTTGGGTGGGATGTATAGTGGCTTTGGGAGGTTTTTTGGGGGACTGCATCTCTGTACGAAGCATGAGATGGGAGCAGAGAAATGAATTAGCCTATAAGCAACTTTCTCTAAAATACTTTCAGAAGGAAACTGTGTTTACACTGGATTTATGTTCCTAGCTGAATTGCTCCCTAACATCTTAAAGCCATTCTTAAAGATCTTCTGTTCCCCTGTTTAGTCACACTAGGAGCTGCTAAGGCACATACAGCCAGTTTATCTGCATTTCTGTCACAGCCCTGGAATATAAATCCACAGAGCTAAAGCGCATTAAAACAAGTGCTGCATCCATGCTTTGAATTTTTTATGACTTGACTGGAGGATGATGTGTCTGTTGTTGAAATAATCACTTCTCTAGGTAGTCGATAAAGGTAACTTATCACCAGTTGTCCTTTTTTGGCTTGTTTTTGCTTTTACTAATGAGGAATCCTGTGACAAATAATCTCCTAGCAATGTCAGATGCTGCAGAGCTGCTGAATTTGTTTCCATAGCAGAAGGGCAGTGATGTTGAGAGAGGGCTGTCTGTGGAGGTTGGACCTGGTTATAGATGTGTTGCTAAACTGAGGGAGACTTGTTGAACCAAGCGGAGAGGCCCAGGAGGGTATTTCCAGACAGCAGGAGGGACTGAGGAGAGATGATTCCCATGATGACATAGCCTCCTGAAAGGTTTTAGAAGGGGGAAACCCACTTTCCCAGGTGAGCAGGTACTTTGCAGTGGTGGCGTGTGGCAGCGCACACAGCCTCCTGCCTCGGCAGGGTTGTAATTCCCCACCGTCTCTGCTTTCCTTTTGCCCAGGAAACGTCAAGCCGGAAGGGTCACCTGTGCTCTCCCACGAGCCCGCTAAGATAAAACAGGAAGACAACAGAGATGTGACACGACCGAGCCGACCTGCTGTGAGTCTTAACTTATTTCCTGCAGGAATGTTGCCAACCGGATTGGCCATGTTTCCATTTGGTGCCATAGCACAACCTTGGGAACCCATAAAAAGAGGCTAGTGCCATTGCTTCTCCAGCTGAGAGACTCGAAAACAACACTCTGGCAAGAGCCTGTGGGAGATTTGAATGCTTAAGGGAGTGCATGATTTCTATCAGTAACCCAAGTCTAGGGGAAAGCACTTAAGGCTGCGATTTAAAATCAAGCAGAGGCTTAAGTGCTTTGCTAGCTTGGGGCTGGTGTTTGCATACAGCGCATTGTTGTGTTCCGAACTGCATGGTAGGTCCTGCCGCGGGGATGCTCCTCACGGGAGAGGCTGGGGAACCAGCCACCCATAGTCTTCACGGTTTACAAACAAACCTGCAGTAATTTCTGTACGCTCTCGTTTTATTACTCCGCTGGCAAAGGCCCAGCAAAGTCTCACCCAAAGTGTTTCTTTCTGGTTTAATATTGTTGACGTTTGTATTTTAAGACTGCAGAGTCGGCCTAATAACTGAAATGAATTTCCACTGCTTTCTCTTTTTTAATGTGTATTAATGTTTTGTTGATGTTGTTTTTTCTTTACACTCCACAGCGTTGAGCTAACAATTCTAATTTTATTTCTAACCTGCTTGCCCTTCCTCTGGCTTTTTCCTGTCCCGATCTGTTTCCTCTGATGCTGATTAATCTTCCCTTACTCACAGAGCTATAAGAAAGCTATAGATGAGGTTAGTGATATCTTTTCTCAGTGGGTCATGCCTATGCAAGGTTGCCTAGTTAGCGCTTAATACCAAACCGGGTTTTCTTGGTGCTGACGTTCAAAAAGGTGGTAATGCAATCTTTTCAGATCGAAAGATTGTGTTTTGGCATAGTGGGCCTGCCTGAGGGGAGGGAGATGGATCGGTCGGTATGTTCTGCTCATACGTGGGCTGTGTGAAATCCACTTGCGGACCACTTGCATGGAGGCCGTGGCGAGAAGTACATGAACTCTCACGTGCAGGGCAAATCGTGTTACTGTTGTTCTGCATATTTGAAAGAGAAAGACCAAGAACAGAATTTTCTTACACTGGATGGAGGGGATCTGGACAGACTGTGCTGCACATCAAATTCTGCTCTCAGCTACAGCCCACGGGAGCCCATTGATTTCAGTGGGAAGACTGAGCTATATTGAGACGCAATTCAGACCTAATTCAAATGAAGGCACTTGGCAAGTAGAGGAAAACAGAGTAGTGGAATACAGTGATTAATTCATTGCTATGAACCAGACCGTCAGCTGCAAAGATAGGGTCCCGGGAGCTATCTTGGTTTACACCAGCTGAGAACCTCAGCCTCTTATGCAGATGCTCTTCCTCTACCAGGGGCCAGTGTAGGTGAATGTGTAATCCCCAGGACAGACACTGAAATTGATAATTACCCAGGTGGCACACTGCAAAAGGAGGTGATCTCAGCTGTCCTGAGTTCTTGCCTTTCTTGCCAGCACCGGGGTTTTACAGTGACAACTGTTCCTGGCTGGAATCAGGGCCGCTGTCAAACCCAAAGCCCAAGCTTCTTGCTGGAAGCAGCAGGGCCAAGTTTGGCCAGGTTTGCTCAGCCACTGCCTCTGCCGAGTGCAATGAGACTGCGAAGAGAGTAAGTTGATAGTGTCCATGCACGGTGCGCTCCAGATCTTGAGAAGTGTTTCAGACATTTTCATTTTTCCCATCTAAAGGTTTTATTGTGTGTGTTTTAAAATTACAGCCTAGTAGAAAGTAGAGGGACAGGGACCGGGATGGACAATAACAATGTTTGAAGCAGGAGATCAGTGATATCCTGTTAAAATATGCTGCTGGGTAGAAAACTGTATGTACTTCCCATGAATAGTATAAGCTTACTGAGCTCAAAAAGCTGTTTCTCCCTAATTAGTAGGTGTGAGGGCACATATCTGAGAACATGGGGTCTCTCGTCCCAGACAACAGCTAGATTGGCTTGTCTAATGCCAAATGGGGAAGAGTTTGCAGGCGGGTTGTTGGGGACCTGAAAGCATGGGCTGCGGGGTGCCTGAAGAGCAAGGTTTGAGGCAGCGTCAGTTAAAAATTGCATGGCCAGAGCGTCAGTTAAAAATTGCATGGTCAGAGTCCATGCAGAATCCTTTAGGGGATGTAGCAGGAGCTCACCCCTCCAGACAGACAACGTAACGCCTGTCTTTGCAAATTACTTTTAAAACATTTAGGGTGCTTATGGTGCTACACAGTATTCCTGGAAAATATAGAAGAGAAGGACGCTATGGACAACGTTATAGTGTAAAACAAGGGCCAGATCCTGCCTTGTGCTGAACATCTCTCTAGCAAGGTGGCGATGAATACCTTCAACTTGCGGCTCGGTGTGGCTGGAGGGTCAGATGCCGAAGCGCAAGCTTTGCCGAGGCCATTGCAGGAAGTCTGGGTATGAGCTAATTGCTGCTAGCAAAGTTCTGCACGTGGACTTTGTTATTCTGTCTGGTTGGGTCTTGAGGACTTCTCCATCACCCCGTTTCGTAAGAAATACCTATCCTCGTTTCTAGATTTACCCATTTTCACCCTGGTAACTGCGATACAATGGCGTTCAGATAATTGGATTGAAAGTAAAAGTTTCAAAACTAGTGTTAATGTGAAGGAGGTTGATTGGCGATGCTAGTCTTGGTCTATCCTATTAAAACAGCAGATTCCGGAATTAGAGCATTTTTACCATATAATATTTTAAAATATGTGCACATCTGATGATGGTGAATTTTTAAATTTTCATGGGAAGAGACTGAACATTCTTCAGCTAGCATTTAACTTGTCTCCCACGTGCTTTAAAGTGCACACACCTCTCTTAACTGTGCGACTGTCAGTAAAAGCCCCGGGATTAGCAGCCTCTCCTGCAGGCTGTTTCCTCTAAAAAGTAGAATATATGGAAGAAGGAAAACAACATGCTGGTTAGCTAACATGTTCTCTTGGATAAAACATTAGCAATGGGGTTTGTTTAATGAGGTGGTTTGTTAAGGAAAAAGCACATAAATCAGTATCCAAGTAGAGGCAGCCTGGATGTTAAATTCAAGTTAAATGAGCTATATGAGTTTGGAAACCAGACTGACTTGAATCCAGCAAATATTAAATCCAGAGAAGTCTTTGCAATTAGAAGTAATTAAAAGAGCACTGATACTGCTAACTTATGTATTATGTCACCTTCAGTAATAACAGTTGAAACACATTTGGAGCTACAGAGCGCTTGCTTTCTTGTTGTCAGATTGTTTTTAGTCCAAGAGCAAGTCAGTGAAGCCACTTAATCCTACAAAGTGCTCATTATCTGGCAGAAATGATAGCATCGAAGAATTAACCATCCTGAGGCAAAGCTTTAAGTAGAAGATATGAGTTATCTGATGATATCGTCTGGGACTATTATTGCTTTATAACTTCCAAATTAGTTATTAAAAACTAATTAAGCTGATTTTTAAAATATTTGGCTAGCTACCTTCTGCTGATGACTGCAGAAGGCTGATAGCATATGTACATTAATCAGCTATCTGCTTGATGGAAGAATTTCAGTAAGCCCACGCTTTTCTGACGCGCGGGAGAAATGACGTGCCTGTGTTGGGACGTCTGGATTTCGTCGCAGCGCTGCCGAGTCGGACCCTTACTCTCTGAGCAATCTCATTCAGTTCGGTGGCAAGGTCAGCGCGAGGATGGGGGAGAGGCGTTGAGATGGGATCCCGGCATCGGGGAGGGATCCCGGCATCCCCCCAAACCGGCCCCAGCGTTGAGAGCAGCCCAGGGCAGCCCACAGACGCTCTTTGGGTGCACAGACAAACTAGCTGGGCGCACCGAGCGTGTCTGGCCTCTACCTGCAGCACTGGCTGGGAGCTGCTGGGCACACACATTGGTCCTTGCAGCAGCTTAGGACCTCAGCCACTAGAAATGCCATCTCTGCCCTAGCTGAAATCTCTGCTGGCCGCTCTGCGCAGTAGCAAGGACTGGAGTTTTTGTTGCCCTGATAAACTTTGCTTAGATATGGAAGGTATAAAAAAGTAGCCTAATTTTCTGTAGTTAATGCAGGAAGCTCAATTACAGTTTTAAGAGGCTCTTGCACAGTCTTCCCTTAAAGTCCTTTGCGAAGCTGAGGAAGCTCCGAGCCAAATCAAAGGAAAGCGTTCAATAAAGAGCATATTTCGTGCTCTAAACTGAGAGCGTTGTTAGGCTGTTCAAATTTCATTGACTTATTTAGGAACAGAAACAATCATGTCACAGAAGCTGCTGCAGCATTAATTAGAGTAATTAGATGTCGTGACTGTAGATTTGACTGTGCTTCAATCCCAGACATGTTGGCATCAAAAATAACTCTTTAAATACCATGTTCTCTCTCTCATCATGATAAAGAGCCTTTCCTTAAAGTTACAGAGAGCGTTTTGATTTGGAGAGGGTTACGTGATACCTGCCAGCTGGGTTTGCTGTGAAGCAGAGATCAATTTCTGTTCTTAAAGTAGATTTTTTTGCATACTAATATTTATGGGTCTGACGCAAAGCCCTCTGATGTACGTGGGAGGTTCTTCTTTACCTCCGTGGACTTTGAACCCCACCGTAACGTCTAGTCATGAACTCAACGGCCATGCTCTTTAGCATGCACCAAATTTCTTAGCTGCATTCAGAGCATGGATAAAATGAGGCACTTGAATAATAGGTTTTGCTAGAAGATTAAAAGTGCTCCTCTTGTTTCTTCTCTTGCCATGTGGAACATGATTAGCGTTGTTGGAGGGGAAAGGGAAAGACAAGATTTTCAGATGGCACAGCTAGCGCAACTGGAAAGATATTTGCACAAGCAGCCAAAGCACGTGCGTGGTTACCTCGGTTTGGTACCCCGGCCGGAGGCGAGCCAGTCCGGCATGGCAGGAGCCCGGCAGGGCACACCTGGGAGCAGAATGTGGTTGTCCACACGCGGCGCCACCCGTGAGCCGCCAACCCCACCGGGCACCGGGGGGAGTCACCTTCCTTTTAATTTCAATGATGGATCGTTCCTGAGAATTTCTCATTGCAACAGCCACAAAGCGGTGTGACTTGAGGGCAAATTTAAATGTCAATAAAGCGTTGCTTTTGATTTGTATAGAATTAGGGATAAACGATTACTCCACTCAAAGCAACGAGTGCTTCGTTTTAGGTTCTAATCCCAATGACACAACAGAGCTTATTATGTCCTTAAGAATAACCCATAACTGCAGTATAAATTGCTTGCAAAATATTACTGATTCATGATTAAAAATAAACTGAGTTTCCATCTCAGCAATAGAAGTTTTTTCATCGTTTTCTTCCAATGTCGACAGGATAGATTTTAAGAACTCCCTTTGCAAATGTAATTAATATTGCTCTAGTCGCTCTGCTGGAACGGGAAACTGGAAATTTGTGGAATGCAGTAAAGAGAGAATATGGCCATAAGACAACTGTGGAATTTAGTATTTTTCAATGAGTTTCTTTCTCCCTAATCCTTTATCTCTGACCGAATGCACTGATGGCTACCTCGGTCACTAATATAGGGAGAAATGGTAAGACTGGCAATTGTGATGCTTTGTTCGTCATGTGCATGTGTTGTGCAACAGAGTACTCTAACCCATTCTAATTAGAGCTCTCATGCTTTTTTGCCCTACTGCTTCCCCCTGCATTGCTATAAAAGCATGTAAGATAACAACAAGTCTATTTTCTACACGGTGCCTGCAATGTTTCTTGTTTTGAAATAACAGTGTCTATTTTATATGACTGTCGGGTCTCAGGCCTCATCAAAGTCATGGTAAACTGAAAACTGAAACTGAAAACTGAAAAATTTCTAATAGGTTTTGGGACTGTTCCTACCTTTTTCTGGTTTCAAGTTCTTTTTTTTTTCTCCCTTAGCTTGTAGGCTGTCGCATTTCACATAAAGTGCTTAATGGTTCCCACTGCAGGATTTTTTTTAATTTTTTTTTTTTTATCCTGTGGCTGACTCAGAGCTGTGACTCACAAGTGTCGCTGAGCAGGGTGCTGCAGCGAGCGGGGCGCTTCTCCGTGGACGCCCATCATGGCCTCGCAGCCGCTGCCCGGCAGCGCAGGCTGATCACTGAAGCATCTCCTGACTTGGGGATTGCACCACTCCATGGGAGATGCTCGCATTGCTTTCTTCCCAAATGCATTTATTACAGAGTAAATACAGTTTATGGGGTCTCTTTGAGAAGTTTGAAAGAAGAGAAAGCCCTGCAGGAGAAATTCTCCAAGCCTGTCTTTGAATTTACACTGTTTTCCAGTTTACTATGATGGTGACTGAACTTCACCTTTTCCAATAAGTATACTTTTGCTGTGTATATACATATAAGTGTATATATATATATATATACATACACGTTCCAAACAGAAAAAGAACAGGTTGCCTATTGATTTTTCAGTGAGCATAAATCAGTTTTGTTTTGTTTAATAAATGCTACATGCTACAAACATTGTCTTACATTTGTCTCATGTTTGTAACAACTCTGTACAGCTATTTCTTGTTGCTCGTGCTGTTAGCATTGGCTTTTGAAGAGATGTGTGTTGACATTTTCCTTGCTGTAAATATAATAGCCATTGGTTTCCTGTTTCCTTGCCCCCATCCCCTCTAGGATCTGACGGCCTTAGCCAAAGAGTTGAGGGAGCTGCGCATCGAGGAGACCAATCGCCCTCTGAAGAAGGTGACCGACTACTCCTCCTCCAGCGAGGAGTCAGAGAGCAGTGAGGAGGAGGAGGAGGATGGTGAAAATGAGACACATGATGGGACTGTGCCTGTCAGCGACATCCCGAGGCTGATGTAAGGAGCCGTTTCTTTGGGGGGCACATGATGAAACTGCTGGGTGTTCACTATCTGGAGACACAGTAACTGTGAGAGGTATCCGGAGGGCTTGCAGAAGGGTGCGACAACGGTGCGAGGCAGCCGCTGGCAGCCTCCAGAGCCTGCTCCTCGCTTTCAGCTGCTTTCAGAACTTCCTTTCCCTCAGTTTCCTTATTTCTAAAAGTGGAATACTTGTGTTATTTTTCCTAACATTGGTAGCTACAGTTGGAAGGAGTTGCAAGCTCCTTATGCAAAAGTTCCTGCAGAAGTACAGTGCGCTGTTGTTTGATGCACTTTGGTTGGGCCAGTCTGGTCATATGCTTTGATCCGATGAAGGCAAGGCTGCGGGGTGTGCATATCTCCCCATTTTTTGTGTATTCAAGCCATACCCATGCACAGAGTTCCTGTGGGCTCCTGTCTCTAATGAGACGGGGAGCCGCCTGTGCTTTCTCGGCTCCCTCGCGGTCCTCTGGGTATTGACAAGGAGGTGTGCACAGGGGAGGCATGTTAAAAAGTGAATCATTTCATATAATTGAAAGCCACCGGCGTGTAAGGCTTTTACATGCGGAGTAACAGGTCTCAGCAGCAGCAACTTCCTGACAGCCATAGACATTTTTTGGCCCACAGGCAAGGCTGAGTAATCCAGGCTCGGTTTATCGTTTGCTTTTGATTTCATTTGAATTGTATTTAAGCAGCTGGTCTGCTAATAAGAATGGAGAGTGCTTACCACCTGTGCTATCCACTCGCAGGCAATCCTAAAATTAATTATCTTTTAAGAATAAATTCCAGTCTTTGTCTGGACATACGAGCGCAGAAATAAACTCAACACATCCCATGGCACTCCAGTGTCCTTTGGTCCTGGGTCCCATGAAGACATTGGCAACGTTTTTATACGAATGTTTCTATTAAAAAAGCTAAATTCTCATATGGACTGATACCACACCACATTATGAATTGCTCCTTCAGACATTTTGCCGTAATGTTACTGTAAAAATCAGCCTCTTCGGTTGTTACAGGAAAAAGCCAGAGCAGAGCTAGGTCAAATTGGGTCCTTGAATGTAAGTGTACGTCTGCCATTGGGTTTGGTTTTGCCAAATTTGGAGATACTGGAGGAGGAGGTGATTTTAAACGCGTTATTCAGTGTAGGCCACCCATGTGGAGTTCCCTAGTTTTGTGCTCTCTTGTATCGCTGATGATACCTTCTTTTAGTGGGTCTTTCGAATTAGCATCAGAAACCTGTAAATGCTTTTTGCCTCTCCGTCTCTAATGACTTCAGGGCTAAATCATAGCTTAGGGCTACGTTTCACCTGAAAAACAGAGGGGAGAGCTACAGGACAGAGCTTATACTCCTGCCTGCACCTCCTCCAAACACCATCGCCTTGGCCTGCGTGTTGGTATCACGGCAAGAGGAAGCTGGTACTCCTGCCCATGCAAGCGCGGCCCTGCTGCGGTGGCTCCTTGGTGGCATTACCCTCTCCACTGGGCAATGCCACTGTGTGCTGAACAGAGCCGGGATGTTTACTTTAGCCCTGACATGGGAAGCCTAAGCAAGCCCACATTAGGCTTCAAATCTGGTCTTCAAATCAGGTGGCAAAAAACCCACCCTGTATTTGTGAAGAGTTGTTCTCTGACATGTTGGATCCTCCAGCACATTGCTCCTCTTTCACAGGTCAAGATGAGGAATAAAGGTTGTGGATTTTTTTTTTTTTTGCAACGTTTCTTGAAAAAAAAAAAAAAGACGCAGGCTAGAGCCGGACTACAGCTCCTCATTACTTAATAGGCAGTGCTACTCCTAGTGCACCTTGGGAGGAAAAAGGCCTTTTTCTTTGGGTCTCTGTGCTTTACCTGTAGTAGATTGACCAGACTGTGATGCTGTGTTGTGACAACAGAAATAGTTTCCTCATATATTTAGCTAATGAAATCTTTTCTAAGGTTTGCAGTAGATCACAACAATACTTTATTATCACAATTGCACTTTATAACTTCCAAGGAGCCCAGGACAGTTTCACTAGGGAATAAACATAAGCATAGAATCCACAAATCTCAGATTCACAGAGCACATAAAGGATATGTGCTTAAGAAAGACTCATCACCTACTTGTTCTCAAATGTAACCCCGTCTGAGACTGTTGTGGTTGCCCTAACCCTGGGGAAGCACACGTCCGGTACCAAAGTGCAGAAATCTTGACAGGACCTTGGGCGGGGGGCGTCCCTGGGAAGACAGGTATGTCTGCCTAATCTTGGTGGAAATTAGAGTAGCAGAAGACATGCTGCAGCTTTCACTCGTGCGGTAGGTCATCCCTCCACCCTGTTCTCCTCTCGTGCTCCCTGGTGCAGGGGTTTCCACTGCAGGCAGTGAAATGTCTGTCCCAGGGACACCCGGCACCATTTACACAACACAAGACTGTAATAGGTGAGCAAAGAGAGACAATGTGTATGCAGGCACATAGTGAAACTGCATGAAACCCTACTTCTTTACCCCTCTTCCAACGAGATACAAAGAAGCCTCACCCTGGCTTGAAATAATACTGTACTGAAGGATTTTTAATCAAGCCTAGCAAGCATATCTCTGTCCCTAATGCTTTTCCTTTCTGACCTCAGACCCACAGGAATTCCTGGAAGCAACGAGCCGTACAACCTGGGAATGGTGGCAACCCACGGTCTGGAGACATCCCATGCAGATACGTTTAGCAATATTTCAAGGGAAGGGACTTTAATGGTGAGGGAGGTAAGTTGTAAAGCAAACGTTTCCATGGAGCATCTTCAGGAGGTTTTTGTCCATGTAAGCACAAAAAGTAACTGTGCTGTTTATCTGGAACACAAAATGACTGAGTAAATTGTGCTCGTTAATGACCTCGCAAGGCAATTTACACTCTGAGCAAATGTGACAAGTGCAAATGTTTCTCGGAACTACAAACAGCAGTGAATAGTAATACCGTGGCACAATGGAGTGGATTCCACTATAAATTACTCTGCTGTAATCCCAAAATAGCTCCAGGGAACAGAAGTTATCTTCAGTTTACAGCATTTGTTTCATACATTTGGAATCTGGCCCAAAGCGTCTGTTCTTTCCAACCGTTACCACCCTCTCGCTATCAGAGGCGTCTGGCTGACATAGGGCAGCTGCAGGCCTTTACTTGAACGCTGATCACAGTGCGCCGGTCCTTTTCGGGGAGGGCCAAGCGCCCGCTCCCCAGCAACCTGGGCTTGCCAAGTGAGTGGGCTCTGCAGCCCGACGAAGGCAGCTCCTTGGCTCTGGCGGAGCGGTGGTACGGGTGCCGTTGACCCCCCCCCACACGCATTTTTTCTGCTTTTCCAGTTGGAAATCTTGGGCCACTGCATTTATCAAATTCTCAGAAATCAAATCTCCCCCTTGTCCCAACCTGCCTAATTCTGAGGCGCTCAGATGGTAGAGAGAGGAGTGCAGTGGATAAACAAAGCGATGTGGCTTTGCCATTTCTAACGGTGTGCACTGAAGGAACGAGGCAGGGGAAGGCGTGTTCAGTCGGCTATAGGAGATCTCAGATGCCTCCTGTCTCCCCCAGTGTTTCTCAGTTTTTCTGTTCCTGTAACATGCTGGTGATGTTGTCTGAAACGTAGGCTGGTAGCGGCTCTCCTGGGTGAGGAGGAATTAGGCTCTGCGAGTCAGTACAACTGGGGTGTTGTTCTCCTGCCTAGCTGTAAGGGAGATGGATGCGAGAGGATGAGGAGAGAGGGGAGTTGGGACTGGGCAATCGTAAAGGAGGAACCTTTAGATTAAGTAGGCTTGAGTTTTTTTCATTTCTTTCTTTATATAAAATATTCACATATGAAGGGAAAAAGTTCTGTGCAATTTTAAAAGAAAGAAAAGAGCTAACAAAAGAAGCCACAGAGTGTTTGCTGCCTCCCACCATGAGTTTTGAAGTTGGGCAGAACTGTAAATGCAGGTCCCTCTCTTCAGAGCAGAGATCCCCAAAGCTTGGTCAGTCTTGCACCCTTCCTGGTATCAAATAGGAGTACAAGTCACTGTCTTAACAGGCAGCCGTTTCAGAAATCGGCTTGGTTTTTAAGCATTGCTACTGTAAAATACGTACCAAACAAACAAGGCCGTACGAGAAAGCCAATGTCACAGAAGGATTGAAAAGCCACAGGGAAGAAAAGCAGCTGGAAGATCTATTTGGGAGGAGGAAATGTCATCAGGAACCTAAACAGCAGTCTTGTGCTGAAGACACACTCTTTTGCTCCCAATCCGCAGCTGTAGCAGTCAATGGCGAGACTCTCTCTGGTTGCCAAGTTGCCCTGGCTTTTGTGCCTTCCTCCTTAGGCAGGAGGAGGGTGGTTTAAGGTGGTGGTAATGAGTAGAAAATCTTCAGAAATGAATCAGAAGCAATCAGAAAGTTGGTGAGCCCATTCAGAGGGATTTTCCCACTAATCCTGTCAATGGACAAGTCTCTAACAATCTCATTGATGTGCTACGGGTACATGGGGTCATCAGAACGACAGGGACCTCAGAGTTAGGAAGGGAAGGGAGAAATTTCGCAGCACCTGTCTTGCACATAGTGGGGATGGAGAGAAAGGGGAAATACGTGTTAGAATGGGGAAGCGCTTGCTTGACATAAGCGCTTATTGTTGTCTTAAATGGCAGCATCTAGAAGAGAGGCCTGTTTTGGCATGGGAATGACCTCGTGTTTCAAATTTGGGGCGTACAAGAGGTGTGTCAGGTAAGTTGTTCCTCCTCCCTCCACCTTTGCTACTTGAGGGTGCTGAGAATTTGCCAGCAGCATGGACGGGGCTATGCCCTGTGCGCTGCCTGTCACAGCCCCCGGCACCTCTTCCCGGCACGCCAGCCTGCTCAGAAGCCTCTTTAATAACAGGTATTCGTAGCAGCTGGCTGGGCAGCTCTGCTAGACACCCGGAGCTCTCCAAGAGGGTCTCCAGTGTAAGGTGTCCGATTTAGGGAGACAGTTGGGTTTGTCGGCTGCCAACGGAGAGTCTGTGGGAGAGAAGGGAATTGAATAAGATTCTATCTTGTATTAGAGTATTTACCTAAAAACATCTAAGGAAGAAGCTTTTCTCCACAGAGATGTGCAACTCTTGTTGACTCTAAGAGGACCCTTGCGCACAGAGCACAGTAAGAGTAGTTGTGCTGACGCGCGCAGGGGAAGCGCTGATGCTGTTCACTGCTGTTTTGTGGTACAGAAACATGCCATGGGGGCTGTGTTAGCATTTGCAAATCCTGCAGTCAGGCTACTTGCCACGGTAGCTTTGAAAAGCCGTTAAAGCTAACGCTGATCAAAGGATCAGATTCTGCTGTCAGCCGTGTCACCAGCTGGTGTCACCAGTGTAGGGACCAGAGCTGGCTTTGGCGTGGCCATGGGACTGGCACCACCCATGGTGGCAAGACCAGAATCTGGCCTGAGATCCCTTTTTCAAAATGACGGTGATCAGGCTTTTCCTCTTGCTGTAATGTGCCTAATTACTCTGGATTGACTTTGTGATTAATCCTATCTTTATTTCTCCTGGAGGGGAGTTGGTTTGATCTGATCTGCTGCTTGCCAGATTGCATGAGGACGGAAACAGCAGAGAGAGTCCTTGTGCTGTGCTTGCTTCGGGAACTGGGTGACTGCAATCGACTTGGTTTTGGGTTTTTTCTCCTCTTTTTCTCTTTTTTCCCCCCCTCTCTTTCTTCGTCATGCCTTGTGTCTCTGCAGACCTCTGGTGAAAAAAAGCGTTCAGGCCACGCAGCCAGCAATGGCTTTGCAGGCCACATCAATCTGCCTGATCTGGTGCAGCAGAGCCACTCGCCTGCGGGCACACCGACCGAGGCCCTGGGCCGAGGCTCCACGCATGCGCAAGACATGGACTCGGTGCCTGAAGTAGGTGGTGGGGGCTCTTCTTTTTCTTTTGCATTGCTTTACACGAGTATTAACACCTCTCTCTGATGAAGGGGCTTTCTCACTTTTTTCCCTGGCTTTCTTTGCTCTTCTCTCTCTTTGTCTCCAGTCCATGTGGATGATTGTGAGTCTAGTGGAAATAAAAGGGAATACGCTGGATTATTGGTAGAGTGGTAAATGTTTGATGGTGCAAGTTTGTACCAGATGTACTCTCAAGCCACCACCTGTTTCTTTGGCAATGATAACTGGAATGCTGCGAACATATGTGAAAGTCCCGATCTTTTGGCGCTTGGAAGTACGAGAAGAACCTGAGACCCAGTGATGCCATTGACTTCCTCTGGGCCAGGCTTCTGCCTGTTGCCATCTCTGATACTTAACAGGACCTGAGAGTTTAACAAAAATTGCTAAGCCAAACAGTTCTATTTAGTTCTTCAGGCTAAAAAAATTTTACACGCCTTTAAAACTGTGTGTTTCTAGTCATGGCAGAGTAGTTCTTCCTGGGAGCTGTTTTACAGGGACATGGTTGAACATAATCTTTGTACGGAATGCAAAAATTCCTAACAAGCACAAGATGTTACACATAAGACAAGTGAATTGGTGTGTCTTGCTTACCATTACCAGCTGTGGGGATCATGCACATTTTCCTCTATTTTCCCATGAAAAATCAACCCATTTGTTGATAGATAAGCTAGCTTATTTTGTTTTTTCTTTTCTTTTGGTTGGACACACATTAAAAGTTGTGTCATCTTGTTCTCTCTTACGGGTTTGATGCACCCATTTTGTGGTTTACTTTTACTAGTAGTATAAAAAGTGCTTGAAATTGTGCATTGAAAAAATATAAGAACAGATGGTGCATGACTTGACCTTAGGGTTTTGTCCATTTCCTTTGAAAGCAATGATGAGGGAGCTGATCCTGAAAGTAACACCTTCCAAAGTTCTTCTGAGACTGCTTAACCATGGGCAGGCAAGCTACAAGGATCGGGTTTAAATATATTCATTTATGGGATACCAACCAAGATCTTTATCATTTCTTAAACTGCATTTTTAGGGCTGACTGAGCCCGGAGCAAGGGGAAGCAGAAAGATGTGGATTTAGTTTGCAGGCTTCCAGTAGCACAAGCGAAACTCTCCCCGCCTGGCCAGCAGCTGCACAGACATCTTGTTTGCAAGCTGGACATTGTCCTGGTAGTACGCCCATCCGAGAGTCCTGTGCTTGACCCACGCAGCGAAGCAGACAGTGGGCTTTGGTGTGCCGACGGCCGCGTCCAGGCGCTCCATCTGCAGCGTTGGCCTTAGGGTGGTGTCCCGCTGGCGTTTTAGGACAGCAGCGCTCAGAGACGGGAGGTATCGTGCGTGCGGGGAAGCCCTTAGAGGAGTGCTCACGTGGCTTTTGGATATGTTGGCAGCAAATGGGACTGACTGCTCCCCGAGGGGGCTCCTGACCTCCACGGGCTCCGTGCTGCGCCCAAGGTCACGTTGCCTCTGTGAAATAGTGTCAGTCATGCTGGCTCATGCCAACGATAATATTGGGACTCTTGCAGCTTGTGGCCCGTTTGCAATCATTTGCAAAATGGCTGCTGGTAATTAGAGTTCTTTTATTTATTTATTTGGTTTTGGCCACTGTCAGAATAGGTTTCTGCCTGGGCGGCAGGAGCGGCAGGTCAGTGATTACTGCAAATGTATTGCTCTGCAGAACCGGCTGCGATGTGTCAGGATGAAGGAGATTGAAAGGGACCTCACGTTATCTCATCCGCAGCGGGATACTGTCTCTATAAGCTGAGACAGGTTTATAGAGGGTTGAACAGGACCTGCAGCAAGGTGAGGTCTTAATATTTAAATAAGAGATTTGGAATGATGCTAGGTGCATCCAAATGAAGGATTCGTACATCATAATTCATTTATTTGAAAGCATCTGGTTCAGGAAAGGATTCCTGTAAATACTGGATTTTTTTCCTCCTTGAACTGCTGGTCTTATGGAAAAGACATGCTATGCAGGAAAAAATGTGTGTTTATTGTGTGTGAATGAAACAGAGGAGGGGGTGCATGTGGTACGCACGTACAGACATTTTGGGCATACTGTACACGCAAACACAATATCTTTTCCTGCAGTGTTTTCTGCCTCAGGCGGATAACTCCTTGCACAGGTCTTAGCTACCCTTTATTTTTTGGAAATTCATCCTGTTTCTATGGAAACAGAAGTGATGTGACGAAGCTGTTGGCATACAGATAGCGAGCGAAGCTGGAGGCGCAGCGCGTCGGCAGGCGCGGGAGATGGATGCAGGCTCCTAGCAGCGCCGCAGCGTGTTCGGTGCCGACAGCAAGGGACCCAAGCCAGGAGCCGCTCCGGCCTCCCCCGGGGCTCTTCTCCTGCCTGGCACGCTCCGGCCAGGAAGCCTCTCCTAGTAGTGTCCGTCCCCCGTCGCCTCTGGCCCCCACGGTCAAGGTTGGATTTGCCACGGCAAAATAGCTGAAACATTTAAAACTTGAGAGCACTCTTTTCAACTATATATTCACTCTTAAACTCGTTGCATTAGTTCTTCCTGCCTGTACCATGAGACCTGCGTTTTTTCCAAGAAGCTCAAGCGGCTTCTTCAGAGCAGGGCAGAGCCGTGAGGGACGCAGTGGCTCTCCCGTGGGTGCTGATCTTCTTATCCGGGCAGTTAGCCAGCGCGGTGGCTGCCGGCTTTGGCTTTGGACACGGATAGCAGGCGTGATGATGGTGTCTTTGTGACTTAAAAGAAAGCTAAGGAAGATTTACTTTAGGGAAGGAAAATGTCCTGAGGAAGGAAAATGTGAACAATCCTGCTGTTGCTGCTGAAAGATTTGATTTTTGCTACTGTAACAGCTCTTAATATAGGTCATCAATAAAGAATATCCTGGGTAAATAATGTAATAAGAAAAATAAGCTGCTCAACAAGGGGTGGAAATCATGTCACTTTGACTCCCAAGTTAAGGATTTCATTTTGCTTGGGAGAAGGTCTTAGCCTCATTTTCTGCCTTAACAAAGCAATGGCTTAAAAAAAAAGGTGATGTGATGTTATAATCTGTTCCTCTTCAAATTCCCTTGGTGAAGTATTGGCTCTGTCATTCCCTGTGATACGTTCAGGTTAAGTTGCATTAGCTTAGGAACGGGCTTTTCTGCATTCTCACTTGAAACGTTTTAAAGATTTAAAATATTTTAGTGAAATTACAAATAACCTATACGTGATACTGTGTGTGACATACACGATAGGTGTTAAATAGTAGGATTTGAGAGGGGATGGAGCGATGTGGGTAAGGCCGTCTTCTAACGGTTTTGCACATGGGCTCTGCCTAAAACGCTCTCCCTAAATAACCATGCAACTCACCCACAAACCTTTTCTTCCCCTTCCCACTTCAAGTGCATAACTTTCTCCCAAAATCTAAGTAGCCAGGCGTACTAAAGAGGCACTGCTCAGTCGCGCCTCTGATAGATTTGGGGACCAGTGATCACAGAGCCCAGGAGATTCAAAAATAGGCATTTTGCTCGAGAGCTGACATGTGCTGCTTTCCTGGGAGAATCAGTATTTTGGGCTTAGCCCAGCTAATCACTAGATAATGGACAATAAACCTGAAGCAGTATTATGGCTACATGAGCTCTCTTGTGGAAGTTGTACAGGTTCTAAAACAGGTTTTTACAACCTGTTTAAAAAAAAAATCTTCCTTCAGACTGTGCTAGGTGGGCGTTTGGCTAAGGCATTGGCACGAGGAGAGCAGCAGTCACGCTTTTTGAAACTCTAAATTACTTGTGTGGTGCCTTGTCGGTGTGACGTGTTGCAGGCAGTGGTTACGCCGTGGAGCAGTGCGACGCAGTGGGCTTTCCTGGGGCTCCCAGAGCTGTCCTGCAAGGCTCGTTGGCAAGTATGGGGGGCAAGAGATCACGTTAATGGGGAAAATAAACCAACCCTTGCCTGCTAGACATCCCACATTGGACTTTTGAGGCAGGTGTATTAGACATGGAGAGGTTGTTTTTACCCACGTTTACTTTTGACTCCGACACTGCAGCTTCTCAGCTAACACAGCTCGCAGCTGCGCTGTGCTTCAGCGGCGAGATGAGCCGCTCCGCCGGGCCCCGGCACCGCTCGCCTGGCCGCTCGCGTCCTTTCGCCTGCCGGTGCTCCACAGACTTCCCTACATCCCCTCTCATGACTTCCCTGATGAATTATTGTGGGAGGAGGAGCAAATGTTCATAGAAAGTCACCAAAAGCAGAGGGTTTGTGAAGAGCACCGCAGGGGCAGGTGCTGGGTGTGCTAGCTGGAAGCTCCCCCCCACCACTGTTATCATTATTTCTGTGCTCTGAGCTCTCGCTCTGCTCTTTGTTTTCCAGTATGGTATGGGAAGTAGCACCAAAGCCTCTTTCACGCCGTTTGTGGACACCAGAGTGTATCAGACCTCGCCTACTGATGAAGATGAAGATGAGGATGAAGAATCATCTGCTACTGGTAGGAAGCAATGTGGCCAGTGTGGAAGGGGAGGCCTCACAAAAGCCAGCTCATGGAAGCTCCGTAACCCCACTGAATCTCTTTCAGATTTCACTTACTCTTATCCAAATATTGCTCATGTTTGTATCCTTGTGCTCTCCAATTTCATACAAGTCCTTTTCTCCCCGCCAGTAAAATACTACAGGAAAGTTCTGAGAGAGAACAGGGAATAGCAAAAATGCATCCATTCCTGTCTGTACTTGCATCTGGGAAAAATGGTTAGGCCTCCTTTGCAGAATTGGGAGGTGACAGACAGCTCCAGAAAGCTTACAGTTGCTCAGAAATCACAGGAAAATGGTTGGATGTGGACAGAGAACAGGCAGAGAACAGTGTTGGTCAGCTTTGTAGGCTGGGCTGGGGGTCTGGGCACAGCATCTGCTCACGCACTTGGAGTTGGTTCAAACCCACAATGAGACACTGAGCTCCTCCCTCAAAAAAACCAGCTTGTAACGTAGTGATGACACCCCATCAGAAAATAAACTGAGTCATTCCTTCCTATTCCCCAAAATCCTGAGACAACAGATATATAGAGTTAGTCAGTCATGGCTTGTGGTTTTATTTTGTTTCTTTCCAGCACTGTTTACCAGTGAGCTGCTCAGACAAGAGCAGGCCAAGCTGAACGAAGCACGGAAGATCTCGGTGGTGAACGTGAACCCCACCAACATCCGCCCCCACAGCGATACCCCCGAGATCCGGAAGTATAAGAAGCGCTTCAACTCGGAAATACTCTGTGCTGCACTGTGGGGTAAGCTCCTCATGACGCAACTACTCTCTGCAAAGTTTCCAGGAGCATGTGGCTAGCAGGAAAGCACAAACTGAGCCTCTGCCTCGGGGGCCCCCACTCTCCATCCTGGACAAGGCAAATACCAGTTCTGTCCTTGCATCCCTGAGCACGCTCGCGTGCGCTAACTGGGCCAGGAGGTTCACAGGGGCGCTCAGCCCCCCGTCGCAGCCATGGGTACCTGCGTATGTGTGTGACAGCTTGAAGATTGAGCTCGCTGTCTCAGCAAGACCCGTACTTGTTTCCTGGGTGTCATGCAGCAGTTTGCCTTGCTTAGCCTTCCTGCCGAGGCCATGATGTGGCAGTCTGGCTCCTAAGAGGCAGAATGAGATTAAGCTATCAAAAGTACCTTTGTGGCTTCAAGTCAGTGGTAACTCTGGCCCTAGCGTTGAAGCTTTTTTCTTCCTGGTTTTTGCCTGAATATAAACATTGTTTTACTTCCACTAATGATAGCAATGCGAAAAGGAACCAAAGTGTGAAGTATTTTAAGTCTTGTTTTTGCTGTAAGAGTGATCCTTGATGTTTATAGGAACACCACCTTTTCGTTGTGAGCGTCACTCATTTGATGGTATCTGAAGTAGGAGAGAGCGAGCTTAGGATATAATCCTTTGGCGCCGGCCTGCAGCCGTGGATCCCGGTGCCAGTTATCCTCTCTGTTTCGTGCACAGGTGTAAATCTCCTGGTGGGCACAGAAAATGGCCTGATGCTGCTGGATCGAAGTGGACAAGGGAAGGTCTACAACCTGATCAACAGACGGCGATTTCAACAGATGGACGTACTAGAGGGCCTTAACGTCCTCGTGACAATATCAGGTAGAGCTGCTGCTCTCTCTGCAGTTTGTTAACCTTTTCGTTCCTATTCCCTGAGCAGGTCCCGCTTAGACAAAACCCAGCAAGAAGGGCAGTCATGCCTTGACAAGGCAGCGAGCTCTGCTTTTGAGTCTGAGCATATGTGCAGGCTTCCGCTTACGTGTCTGGGTGCCCTGGGCATGGCAGGAGCCAAGGGCTTGTCTTGCCTCAGGGTTCAGCCAGCAGCTCTGGAGCTCCCAGCTCATGCCCATGGGTACTTTCTGGCAAGTGGGTAACACCTCCGTAGTAAAACCTCACGGGAGAGTGCCCAGCTGCCCTTCCTGTAGAGAGGGGAGCACGGCCTCCAGTCCCCAAAAACACAGGGGGAAGAGCCAGGGCAGAGCCTTCTCCTGCTGATGCCTGCGTGGCAGCTCTCATGGAGGAGAGCGAGAGAAATGCTCTTTAGGAGGGTTGCTTAATATCATGCTTCTGTTTACTTTCTTGCTGTTCAACAATTTTCCCGTGACTTACTGTCTGTTAAAATATGAATTATTGTTTCCCTAATTCAGGTAGGTCTCTTCAAAAAATGCTGCTTTGTGATTTGCTTTGTTTTGTGGCTCCACTTGTGTTTTTGATAATGCAGCTGTAGGAGCAAGGGGTTTTAGTACAGCTGAAAGATTAACAGGAGGGTGGAGTGCCCCAGGGATTATTGGCCTCTGAGGCAGCACTGAGAAAGAGCTGTAGGGGACTGTGGAAATACGTGAGTGCGGATTAGCCGACAGGCCTCTTGGTTTATAATTTCAGTCTGCTCCCACTGACCTTGCTGGAAGCTATTTTGCGTCCCTGCAGCAGGGCTTTGCAGCAGCGAGGTTTCTAGCCAGGCTGTAGCCACTAGAGGGTACAGAGACTTGCAGAAATGTGGCACTGCCTCAGTGCCGTATAGCCCAGCACGGAGCTTATCATCAAATAGCAGCCCATATCGCAAACGGAGGAGCTCGTGCGCTAAATTAAAATCAGGTGTCGGGACGTGCCTAGAAAGGGTAGTGAATAGCATATGTCAGAAACTGCATACACGTGGGAACAGTAAATGAGGAAGGTAGTGTGGGAATACTGCCCAGAGCGGCAACACGGTAAGCGTGGGTGAGCTGTTCCCAGAATTTTTGCCACCAAAAGTGAGAGCCTTTCTTGCCTGAGCCAAAGGCACATTTTGCTTAGCCGTATCTCTAAAGAATTGCTGTGATAGCTGGGAGAGCTAGTCAGAAGTTTTCTGATTAGGAATATTTTCATCAGAGAATGCTCGTTTATAAAATCCGGGAAACTTCTCAGCTACGTAATTGTGTCTGTAACACTCGCTGGGGAGGTGCCTTAGTTCCAGGGTGGAATTGGTGTTGTGTGAAGCAGAGAGAAAAAGAAACCAATTGCCAGGTAGTGTAGTGGTTGGATAACTCACAAGATGCAAGAGAGCTGGGTTCATGGCCCTGCTTTGCCTGATTCTCTCTCTGTGCACGTTTATTTACACAAAATGGAACATTTCCAACCTGTGGGCACGCGAGAGAGTCTGTCTCTGAGAGCATCCACCTGCAGTGTGGGAGGCTGAAGTCTGGTCTCTGCTTTGCATTAGATATGTGCAGATATCAGGTTTTTTCACAAGAAAAAAACCCTAAAACCCATTAGATTATTATTTTCAACTTCACTGTGACAAAAAACTTCACTTTTATCTTATTGTAAGTAAAAGCAGACACTGAAATCTCAAGATTTTCCATGAAAGAGGAATCTTTCTGCTCACCCACAGTGGTTGTGCCACAAGGAGAGCTGGAGCCCAGGACTGTGCCTGCGTGGTTGCTGCTGCGTGTTTTCTCTTTGTTACTTCTTGTTAGCTCTTACTGGGAAGTTTCCTTTCCCAACAGGAAAGAAGAACAAGCTGCGAGTGTACTATCTCTCCTGGTTAAGAAACAGAATTTTACACAACGACCCCGAAGTAGAGAAGAAGCAGGGCTGGATCACAGTCGGAGACTTGGAGGGCTGCATCCACTACAAAGTTGGTGAGTGGCCAGGGGCTGCCGTGCTGGGGTGGCCTCTCTGGGAATAAGCCTGGAGGCTGTGCTGCTTTTTTCACTGTCTGCTGTGGGTGGAGGAAAGCTTAATCTGAAGGAAGGATTTGTGAAGAAAATATCTGTGTTAAAATAGCTTGTTGTTAAAAATCTTCCAATTTATCTGATCAGTCATTTACTGCATTAATTACTGGCAAAAGATGCTTGATGTCTTTTGGGATTTTTAGCCTATAGTCTGGTCTGGTCTGATCTGAGCAAAAAGGAAAACAAGGATTTCTCCATATTTGTAGGTGATTAGTTCTGTGAAAACACTATTGCACAGATGGTATTTTGAACAAAGATAGGAAGACTGGACAAGGAGTGTGTGTAGCATGAATAAACTTGATGTTCATCTATAGGTGCACACCTTACCAGATGGCAACCAACAGAGAGATAGCCTTAGAAGCTCTTCCTGGAGATGAATTGTTCAGTCTTTTTTGAATGAAAGTGGATGTTTTAAAAATCAGTTTTATTTTGATTTTAGTGAAATATGAAAGAATCAAGTTCTTGGTGATTGCCTTAAAGAATGCTGTAGAGATATATGCTTGGGCTCCTAAACCATATCACAAGTTTATGGCATTTAAGGTATGTTTATCTTATTACCAAAATACACTCTGTAATTGTAAATACATGGGATTTCTTTACTGTGCAGAGTAGAAAAGTTTCTTGCTTATGCAGTTGTGCTCTCTGGGACCCCTAGCAAGCTATGGCAGGGGGCGGGGGCCAGCCTCTCCTGGGGCAACGAAGAGGAGCACCCGCAGCATTGCCCAGCAGACTCCCTGCGAGCTGCCAGGGGCTTTCAGACCTTGAAAGGTGCAAACAGAACTACTCTGCGAAAACATAACAGTCATTGCACTTCCCCTGGCAGGAGAGTACTCTGAAATCCGTGCCTGAAGAGATGCTGATACATGCTTTGTATGGCTCACGATTAAGTGTTGGTAGTAGCTTGTGCTGGGAGGCTTTGGGAAGTGTGCAGAAAGCTGACTGAATGTCCATGAGCAAAATGGGGGTTGTGGTGGGGGGGGGGGGGAGGAGTGTTTGTTTGTTTTACCTTGAACTAGTTTTTAGGGTATAGTTTGAAAACCATTTGGCATTACTTTCCATTTTTATTTTGCAAGGTCCTCTTGCCTTCTGCAATGTGGGTTCGTTTTCAGGATATAAAGTCCAAGAGAATGACCTACTCTTTCTCTATTTTTCTCCCTTTCATCTCCCTCGACTTCCTTCAGTGAGACCTTTCTCCTGTATAACCTGCCAAAGAGTATTTTGCACTTAGTACTTTAAAACACTTACCATCCTAAGCTCTGTGCAGAGGCAAGTCACAAGGGGCAGTGTCTTCCAGAGACTTTCATGCTGAGTAATCTTATTTTGCATCATTGCAGCATAAATCGGTTTATCTAGTATTAGGTCACATTTGCTTTCCCTGAACAAAGGGCAGAATAAATGGCCTCGGTGACATGAGAAGTGCAGCAGTGTTAAAAGAGGGTAGGATCCAGCCTCTGCACCCTGTAGGCAGGTAGCGAGGATGCTGGTTAGTGCCCCTAGTGCTGCTTTTCCAGCCTGTGGGCTGAGCATCCTTTCCATGCCCTCTACACAGGGATCCCTGGGGACAGTAGCAAGCACCATTCCCTGATTTCCACCGTCCAGATTTGGCCCAGTCCCTGTGCGGAGAGCAAATAGCCTGTTTCTCTCCCTGGTGGTGTTTCACACTTCTGTTGGGAAGCTAAGTTATGGAGAGAGAATCTGTCCCAGACTCTGCTGTGCCAGACAGCTGGTCCCTCACCCGCATCCACCAGGTTGGCTGGAACAGAGAAAAGTAGCTCTTTGCTCATCTGGCTCATGTCAGCTGCCTCAGTGGAGCGGTGATCCCTGCAAAAGGGGAGGTGGGTGCTCACTGCTGTTTGCAGACTTCACTCTTGTCAGCCTGAGCAGCGCAGGCAGACATGCAGCCCCCCACATGCCAGCTGAACAGCCTGCTCAGGTAAAATCGAGCTCTCCGTCGCCCTTTTAGAGACTGAGTTCTGGGGCTAGCCTCAGGTTTCTGGGGGGAAGAGGGCTGTGTTTGGCAAGGGTAAGTGCTTTGCGGCAGCCTCGGGAGGGAGAGCCCATGGAGGTCTTTTGTGCAGCCACATTGCGGTACTCCTACCCACAGAGGCCTGATTTTCAAGCTTTCATTCCAGCTGCTGGAGTCATATTTTACAGGGACTGCCAGCCCCTCGTGGCAAATGCAACATGTATGTACCATGTCAGAAGCCAGGCTGTCACTTCTGCGGAGAGGGAGGAAGATGCATCCGTGCTCAGTAGCTTCTCCTAAGATGCATCGCTGTAAAAAAGCTACAGCAGCAAATCTGCTAAGATGGCCGGAGTGACTGAGTAATACCCTCCGAGGCATCTGACACAGGAACAGAGAGACAGGAATATAAATAACTTATTTAATAGGAAACATTCAGACAAATATGATTTCAAAATTATCAGGCTGTTGCTATGGGGATTTGTTTGTTTTCCGTGGTACTCACTGAAGGGATTATAAAAGTCTTTTGCAGATCTCCAGCACAAACCGTTGCTTGTGGATCTCACTGTAGAAGAGGGTCAGAGACTCAAGGTTATCTTTGGATCACACACTGGTTTCCATGTGATTGATGTAGATTCTGGGAACTCTTATGATATCTATATACCATCTCACGTGAGTACATGGAGGAGTGCTGCTGCATGAGTAACGCAGGTCACCAGCAAGGTTTGGACGGGCTTTCAGTGTGTCAGAAAGGGTGACCAGTCAGGTGACATCTTGCCATGGGTACGGCATGCTCCAGTGCTGTCCTAGTTGATAATCGGTTAAAGAGGACTTGGAGGTATCATGTACTTAATATTCGTTATTTACACAGGCTGTTTCTGTCCCAGCGCCCAAGCAGTCCAGTTAAAGATTGACAGGTCCCATGGAAGGGAGGCTGTCCATACACTGCATGGAGCAGTAATGGAGTCTTTGTAAGGCAAGATACCACGAAACCAGGTTCTCGCTTATTAGACAGGATAGATCCGTGAAGCACTGGCTGCCCAGTGCGCTCTCCCTTGGTGTGGAGTAGCAGATGTGCTCACCAACAGGTCCTTGCTCCCTGCCTGAGGCAGCACAGGTTTCCCAGGCGAGGGTTGCAGGATAAGGGTAGCCCGTATCTCAGGAAGTCTGCTGCTCGAAATTCCTGAAACCCCACTGCCGGGTGGGACTCACCAGAGGATCTCTCTCAGGTCCATAGGCTATCACAGCGCTGTAAAAGATAGTTTAGATGACGATTTTCTTGTGTGCTCGTTTAAGCTCTGTCCATGCTGTTGGATCAAGCAGTGGGAGAAACTAGCCTAGCAAGAATTGTGTTTTTAATCAAATCCAGGAGTTGCTGAATGTAATCTGAGCAACAGAGCATCCTCTATGAGAGGTGCTACGAGAAATACTGGGGCAGTTTGGGACGGTTATGTTGTCTTAGCTTTGGAAGGTCAAGGTTGAAAGTTACTGTAGCTACCCTTGGAGCTTGTAACTGATTGCTCAAGAAATGGGAATATTTCCTCCCCAGAGCTGCATGTGAAATTCTGTTTTTGTTTCCCTTAATTTGAATAGAAGATGGATTCATCAGTCAGTAGTAGCTGATTTGTGTTACTGCCAAATGTCAGCCATCATTTTTGGGAGTGTATATGTTGTGATCACTTCATAATTGCTGAACCTGTTTATCCTTGATATATATGACAGCTTTGATGGTAGGGTAAACATGACAGTTTATTCTCCTTCAAGCTTAGCTCTAAAAGCCAATGCCTGTTTGTTGAATGGAGTGAGGGGTTTGTTCCTGGTTAGGTTTTGGGATTTTGTTTTTCTAAGGCTCGGCTCCCTTCCCCCTACCTCTTCCTCTATTCAGTGTAATTCTGACTTTGAGGGTTTATTTTGACTGCAGATTCAGGGCAATATTACTCCTCACGCCATTGTCATCCTGCCTAAAACAGACGGGATGGAGATGCTTGTGTGCTATGAGGATGAAGGCGTATATGTGAACACCTATGGACGGATAACTAAAGATGTGGTGCTCCAGTGGGGAGAAATGCCGACTTCTGTGGGTAGGTCAACCCTTCCTCTTCACCTTCATAGAATAAAATTGACAAATAAAGATGAGGAGTCAAGGATGAGATGAGTCGTTTGGGCTCTCGTTGATCAAGGTAGACCTCTCATAGCCAGATAATAGATGTAATTGCAAAATGTCTACAGTTTGGTCCTGCACAGCAAGAGCAAGCGACTTAAAGATTTTAGGTCCGGTTTATCTGAAGTATAAGCTGTTGCAATGGTGAGAGCCTGTGCTGAGTGGAAAAGGTACTGTGCGTGTAGCTAGGAGAATCTGGGCTGCTCTTCTGGCTTTGCTGTTACTCAGGTCCATGACATGTGCAGGCTGCTCATCAACCTGCTCAATGACCCAGCTTCTCATCTACAGAAAGAGGAAGAAGTGATAATTCTTCTGACTAAAGTACTCAGCAACTTATGGATGAAAAGTGCTATATAAAGGCTATTATTGCTGAGGGCCTGTGTCTGGCTTCTGTGCCTCTGGCAGTCAGAGCTCTATCGTTCATCTAAATAGGCTTTGAATAACAGCTGATGAGAGGTTTTCTGCCCCTTGTGTAATATTTAGCTCAACACATATTGTAACACCTACCAAACACTTCCTTTTGACAGCCTACATTCATTCCAATCAAATAATGGGCTGGGGAGAGAAAGCTATTGAAATCCGGTCAGTGGAGACAGGACATTTGGATGGAGTATTTATGCACAAACGAGCTCAAAGGTTAAAGTTTCTATGTGAAAGAAATGATAAGGTAAGTCCACGTCAAAGCTTGTATCTATGCTTTAAGCTACAACCAGCTACTTTTTGACTTTAAGTTTAGTTTATCTTGAAGTTAATAAGTAATTAATTTGAAGGTCCTCTTTAATAAACAGTACCCGTAAACCCACTCCAATTCATTCCCTTCAGTAGATGCAGATCTCAGCCTGTGGTGGGAAGATCTCCAAGATCTCTTCCACCACAGGCTGAGATCTGCATTGACTTGGCTTGAATTTCTCTCTAGTGTTGCCTCTAAGTAATAAGTGT